CTGTTCAAACAATTGACATGTATGATGTACCTAAATTATATTTGTATGTAATAAAGCAGCATTTCGAAAAAAGTTATTATAGTCATATTTTTTCGTTCTTACACAATTATAGGGGAATGCTAATTTCATGCAATTATATCTTTACGTCGCGATGAAATGTCATACCGTCCGTCGCAAAGAGTATAATAATATAGATTATAGACTATAGTACAGATCCGTCGGCTGACGGCTCGGGTCCATCGAAATAGCTGACGTTAGGTGGCGCTGAAGTGATGCACGGAGCCATATTAAGTAATATTGAGCTGTGAACCGATTATCTAGCAACTGAGCCGCAGCTCAACGGCTCTAGCTACTGTGAACTGAATATTTGAACCGGCTCTGAGCTGAGTTACACATAGTGATTATCTAGCAACTGAGCCGCAGCTCAACGGCTCTAGCTACTGTGAACTGAATATTTGAACCGGCTCTGAGCTGAGTTCATAGAGTATATTGCTACATATATAAAGCTGAGTTACACATAGTGAGTTAATACATATATAAACTAATGTAAAGTAAAGCTGTATATCGTGGAATGTGGATGGATTTTTTTTTCATTTTATTTAATATCTAATTAAAATGACAAATTGTGCAGTGCCAGGATGCAAAGAAAATGGACGTCATTTGTTCCCTAAAGACAAAAAACTGAAGAAATTGTGGGCTAAAGCTATAAGACGACCAAAATTGGCGAAATCACAATCTTTATTTTTAAAGTTATGCGGAAATCATTTTAAAGAAAGTGATTTTAAAACAGTCAAATCGACTACAGGTGAATATTTTCTTATTTTTTGTTCTTTTTTACTGCTTTGGGAACTTTTGCAGATATAATTAATATATAAACTACCATAATTGTTTAAATTGCAGGTTTTAGTTTACAACGTCGAAAGTTAAAGGAGAATACGGTGCCGTCTGTTTTCCCTTGGTCTAAGTTTTTACCAACTTATGCAGTTGCTAGGCAAGAAAGACTACGAAATAGAAATCTGAAAAAGGAATCTTTCCCACAAGAATTTTTAGATTGTAGTAATAATGATACTGAAGTTCTAGAGAGTCAACTTTTGGGCATAAATAAACAACACTCTTCAAGTAATTGTGATATTCTAGTTCAGGATATAAACAATACAGCAACACAGACCTCTGTACTGTTTAGATTATTTTCTACAGAAGAACTACTTAATGATGACACATCAATAAAATTTTATACTGGACTTGAAACATATAAAAAATTTAAATTTGTTTTCAGTACTTTATGCCCAATGGCTTATAATCTATGTTATAAATCACGCAATATAATTTCTCTAAGTGTGGAAGACCAGTTTCTATTAACCTTAATAAAATTGAAACGTAATTATTGTGATTTTGAACTATCAAAAATATTTGGTGTCAGCAAATGTACAGTATCAAATATATTTGTAACCTGGCTAAATTTTATGTATGATACTTGGTCATTAATTAACTTATGGCCTACGCAAGAATTGGTTAGATACTATACCCCAGAAAGCTTTAAAAAATTTGGAAATACTCGAATAATTGTTGATTTCATAGAAGTGCCTATATGTAAGCCAACAAACCCTCTATCACAACAGGCCACATTCAGTAATTACAAAAACAAGAACACAATTAAATTTTTGATTGGTGCTACTCCAGGTGGTCTAATTTCATATTGTTCAGATGGATATGGTGGTGCAATAAGTGATCAGCAGTTAACTGAGAGTTCCCAATTAACTACCCTATGTCAGGCAGGAGACACCATCATGGCTGATAAAGGGTTTAATATTCAAGACATTTTTGCTCCAAAAGATATTGAAGTTAAAGTACCAACATTTTTAAAGGGAATCTCACAACTTTCTATGCATGATTTAAAAAAAGATAGGGAGCTATCAAAGAAAAGAGTGCACATTGAAAGACTTATTGGATTAACAAAAACATACACAATTCTTAAAACTGAAGTCAATAGTTACTATGTGCCATTAACTTCAAAAATATTTTTTGTGTGTGTAATGCTATGTAATTTCAGGGAAAAAATGTTTTTAAGTTTAAATAAATAAATTTGAATAAATTAATCAAGGTTTTACTATTTCTGTACAGTACTTGTACCAATATTTATTTAATATAGCTGGTTCAAAGTAATTTGTGATATACACAATTTAGAGATCTTCATATGTTTAAATGACCATATTAAGTATAAAATGTTATATTAGTACAAAAAAAGTTGTCCCTGTATCTGAAAGTAGTAAAGATGTTTTAATTGTAGCTTTTCAGATTACTTTCTTATTTACGCGAATAAATTTAAATTTTAAATAAAACTTTTCGGATTATTTCGCGGATTTATTTTGAGTTTTGGTTCCCAACGTTTGGTTTGTTGGTTTTTGTCTATAAAGGTAGCAATAGTGTTACTCAATATTTTATATAATATATTAAATAATAGCAATCTAAATTAACATTTTGACTTCTTTTATATCTATACTAATAAAATTCTAAGCTGAATCTGTAAATATTTTTCGGAAAATTTTGATATGAAATTGAAGTAGACTTTATTATCGATACAGAGGTCGAATCTATAGTTTTTAGAATTTTTGTCTGTCTGTCTGTTACCGCATCACGAGAAAACTATTGGACAGATTTTAAAGAAATTTAGTATAGTTGGTTATACGGATCAACATATAGGATACTTTTTACAGCGGGAAAATGTGTCATTTCTGAGAAAAAAATACAAGTCATCTGAACGCGGGCAATGCTAGTTATATTATAAATTATAAAACAATATAATGGCTAGATAAATAATTAATATTTTTAATATTCTAGGTTATACATAATATAATAATAGCAACACTAAATAATGTTAGTAATTAATAAAGTTTAAAAAAAATTGTTATAGTTTATTATAAAAACATTAAAATTAAATTACATAAATATTATAATTAAATATAGCAATATTATTTATTGAACACTAAATAAATTATATTGCTATATTTTATTAAAAGAGTTATTAAAAAATTAAAAATGTTTAGAAATAAAAATTATGAAATATTATAAGGTACTTTATTGCCATTTTTTGAATTTTTGTAAAATAGTGGGTAGGCACTGTCTGTAACAAGTATGTGTTTGAAACGTCTATAATTAGTCTCTCCCGTGACCATATGATCGCTGTAAAGCATTCGAAACGTCGGGAACCAAAAATCAAAATAATTAAAATGTAGCTTTTTATTTTCAAAATACAGGTACAGTAACTGGACTTATTAAGCTATGTATAGTGGAGTCAGGACATTTTGTTTCAATAATGTCTGATTTCCTCACAATCAATCAGGAGAAGAGCCTGAATATGGTTTGTCTTTGTTATTGAATCTGACGACACGTTTGGCTCAGCCTCAGCGCGTAGTGACACTACTTACTATGCCAGCGGTTGCGGGTTCGAATCCCGCTGGGGGCAATCATTTGTGTGATGAGCACGAATGTTTTTACTCCAGTCATGGATGTTTATATTTATAATATGTATGTATTTAAAGTTATATATGTGTAGTGTATCAACTATCTGGTATCCATAATACAAGCTTCGTAGCTTACCATGGAACTAGATGGTGCTGTGCGTTAATGTCCCAACATATTTATATTATTTATTTATTGAATAAGCCACATTCCTCAACATCATGTGTATGTTTTTCATTATATCGTTTTAGAGCCACTTTTTCATTAATTTTTCTATGGGTGGTAGCTTTAGTTAAAAGTTAAAACACTTTGTGCAGATTATACATTAGCACACTTCGGCATTCTGCGCCAAAGTGCGGCATTATGCTCTATAATTGGAAATCAGGGTGTTTCTCTAGTTTCGAGCATTAACCCCAGTTTTCCAATTACAGCACTAAAGCGCACTATGCGGCATAATATTAACTTCGAATGTTTCAACAACAGGAATGCTCCGCACAATCGAGCATTTTGAAAAATACTGCAAAGCATCATATTTCAAAACTTATTTATTTTATCTAGTTTTATTTACAATTTATTCGCATTCGCAACGAATCGCATCCACCGATGTCAACCTCCCGCCAATTCCAATCTTCTCATTTCTTATTTCTTCTTTCTATTTTTAATTGTATATTTATTATTAATTTTCAGCCTGACCAATCTCGTCATTTTTAATTGCCTGATTTACAAAGGTATCATTAATTATGCATTCGCGTCGTCAGTGTGGCCAGTATAATCAATTAATAACTGTTTTATTATACACTAAAATAGAAGTTCCCATCATAAGCTTCCATCCAACCTGAGAATAAAATGTTTTCACTTGAAATGCTCATTTCAATAGCAATAATTAACAATTTAAGTTCGTAATATAAATTCGTCAATACGATGCATGGTTTTCATAATGTCCTTTGATAGGTAGCAAACACACAGCGCTCTCTGCTCAAAAGTTTTCAGTATCTTCCCCATGGGTCCATACCCCATTATGCAATAGCATTTAACAGTTAACTGTTAAGTTAGCACACTTTGGTCTTTGGCAATTGGCATTGTGCGCCAAGGTACGGCATTTTTATATGTATCAATATACTCTATGGTACGGTATTATGCCCAATTAGAGTATGTAACCCTTTTTAATTATGCTCTATAATTGGAAAACAGGGTTTACACTGTTCGAAGCCGAAGTTCTAAGCCAAAGAGTATAGTTATAAACTGGGAACTCTAAGCTCTAGAGTGAGAGTCTAGTTTATATATGTAGCAATATACTCTATGGAGTCTAGTTTCGTCTTTTCACTTTTGATGTCTATTGTCAAGTGTCATTTCTCGAATGTCGATTAAAAGTTGAGGTTTGAGCAGTTTCGCTTAGATTTTAGCATACATACTTATTTTATATTTTTCTTTAATATAATATCTACAGTACCTAGCTATTTATATGAAAGGTTAAAATAAATTTTATGAATTTGGCAGTGTTTTAAAATATAAAGTGATTATAAGTGGTGCTATCCACTCAAATGGTATTATTTTCTATATTAGTTTAAAAATTAATATTAAAACTCATTATCAGTCTCAAAAATAAGTATTTCTAGGATCCTCCGAGTGCTGGCACAAGTTCACCTGGCTTAATAGGCTCTGCGCCGCCGCTTTTGCCACCACCAATGTTGAGTGCAATGCCGCCCCCAATGCCACCGGCGGTCGCGATGCCACCAGTTCCAGGGATGCCGCCCAATATGGGACCTATGCCACCTCCTATGGGTTTTCCACCCATGATGGCACCCTTCTCTATGCCGCCTCCAGGATTTCCACCATTTAAACCGGTAAATAATAATTTAAACTGGTACATAAAATTCTACTTCTTTTAAGTTGGTATATTAATGAAGTATATTTAGATAATTTGTAATATTTCATTGTATAGAGATGTTAAAAACTACTTTTTTTTGTCTTTTCAGGAACTAAGTGCACCAGCACCTGAAATATCACCTATGGCTAATCAAAATTGCCCTTGGTCTGAGCATAAAGCCCCAGATGGCCGTATATACTATTACAACTCTATTACAAAGCAGAGCCTTTGGGAAAAACCTGATGATTTAAAATCTCCTGCTGAAGTAAGTATATTTTTTTTTACACATATCTATTATATGACATCAGAAATACATCATGCTTCAAGTTAATATGACATAGGTTATAATTGAATTATTAGATTTTGTTTATATAACCAATCACAGAGCGAGGACTTTGGGCCCTCATCAATTTCTCGCACCTATGGCTACACATAAGACTTTTTTGTAGTACTAATTTGTAAACTTTATTTACGTCTGGGAATGGTTTATAATCGGTAAATTCGTCTGGCGATTTGCAAGTATTATTGAAGATTACTCAATAAATATGTGATTAAAATTTCAGATTGCCAAAAGTATATTTTTTGGGAATTTTAATAAAGCGTTGTTGGAGAGTTCTGGCAATACTTTATAACCGACAAAAAAGTCTGGGGTTCTTTTTTTTGTATTATATGAAAACTAAAGTAAAAGAAACAAAAATCAAGTTGCCAAAAATATGTTTTATTGGATATTTTTTTTGCAAATGTTATATACTGCGCAGTAACAAAATAACCGCTAAAGCTATACCAGACTCGCGGGACTGGACTCGCCAATTCACGAAATTATATTTTTTCACAATTTCAACTTGCCAAAAGGACCTTCCCAGAATTCGTCGCCAGCTCACGGTATAATAGTTTTTCAAAATTCCACCCCTCAGACTAGAAAAGGGGTGGCAATTTATTATTTTACTTTTGAAGGGTTAGCACGTTTGTATGGACTTATTTGCTAAAAATTCATCTTATTCGTTTTCATATTTCTAAGTGCAAATAATGAAATGCAAAATACAAAAATCTTTTAAAAAAATAAGCGACTTCGAAACACTAAAAAAACAATTTCTCAATTTAAAAAAATACCGACTGCGTAAAAAGCGAATTAAAGAGATGAGAACAAGTTGACAGAGCAACGTAGTATTATGCAGCTGGAGACAGATGCCGCTATTAAAAACCATTTATGTATACATAATTGTACCAGGTAGGTTTCCGACTGCATAATACTTGTTGTTTTGTCAACTTGTACTCATCTTTTTAGTTCGATTTTTACGCAGTCGGGTTTTTTTTATTTTTATTGATTATTTTTTTATTAATAGCTTTTTAGTTTTGGTTAGTTAGACATTTTTTTTATTTCACAATCTCTTATCCTAAATTAGTTTTAAATTTATAAGTTGTATATGTTTTTGTAATCGCTTCTTAAAACCCTGTATTATATTTAATTATTTCAAGACACAAATTGACTCCTTAGATCGCCCATTTTGAATTTTATAAAATCTATAAACCCATGACACCCGTGTTATCAAGACGAATCGAACAATGTGTATATCATCAAAATCGGTTAAGGCGTTTAATAATTACAAGGGAACATAGGATAGGACATACATGCATACAAACATATTATGTACATTAATACATACTAAGGGCTTCGCCGCAGTCGGGTAAAAAGTAAAAAATTATTGAATGGGAGTTTACTATAGATACCTATTACCTAATCAGATATTTTCGAAATTGGTGCCAGCCGATAATGCTTTTAAATTTGAATACATATCTAATAGGTAAATATGAACTTTAATTACATATAGTTTAAAATATTATACATCAAATTGTGATGTCAGCTTTGCTTTGATTTGTATCGACTGGCACCGACTTCGAAAATATTTGGTTAGGTATCTATAGTAAATGAAAACTCTGTTATTTTTACTTTTTAGTGTTATGATAACATAAATGTACACATACTACTACAAATTCGAGTCATATGACAACATATAAATTCAATGGTAATAAAAACTGAGTAAATTCTTTAGTTTATGCGAGCGTTAAAAAGCGTGAGCGTGGGCAAAAAACTTAACAAAATAAGAATGGCACTTTAAAGTTAACAAAGGAGAGAAAGGAGGGAGACTAAGGCCTACCTCATAAATACAATCGTTACATCGACTTAAGTGTTTAGTCGAGTTGTGTGCTTGTATCGATTTTATGACGACCAAACAGTTTAGTCGACGAGGGTGCGCATACTATCAACTCTGTCGTAATTGATTTATTTTCGTTTTTTTTTGTTTCGTCTTTTAAAGGGTTGTTTTGTAGAACTTAATTATGTTTGAATACAAGAGCAATGGTAAATAAAAAAAGTACACATCTGTGCTTTGCTAATAAATATTTATTTTTGTAAGTACTTAATAATTAGTAAAAATATTTTTTTTTAATTAATAATTATTATAATAAATAAATACATTGGGACATTAATACACAGCATCATCTAGTTCCATGGTAAGCTGCGAGGCCTGTTTTATGAATACTAAATAGTTGATAGGCTACACATATAAAACTTTAAATACATACATATTCTTAATATAAACACCCATTTTTTTTTTAACGTTGGGAAATGCATTTACGCACGACGTGTGGGGCTCACCGGCGTAATACAGTCAGTACTACCCACTAAAACCCAACAAAACCTTCCCCCGTCTTAATGGGGCGTCGCAGGATCGCTTACGCATTCAACTACGACGCCCCGACGGCAGGTCTGCCGAAGCAGACCACCACAACCATGGGGTTGCTCCAAGGTCCACTCTGCTATCAGAGAAGTACCAGGAGCAACCCGCATGGTACACCGCCCTCCGAAGAGGGCCACCTCCCACCGCCCACCGAAGTGGGCAACCTCCCTGTGCGTTTCTTAGCTTCGCGCCCGGTTGCAGAGATGCGCAAACTAGGTCCTGGAGTGGATTGAACATGGAATAGTTCCTTTCCATAAAGGAACTATGTTCACGAAACATGTTCGCGGAACTATCTAGTTCCGATAGTTCATCCGATCCGATCGTTCCGATTTTAACAGATTATCACTGTCATCGGTTCCCGAGGACAGCTTAACGGGAGATATAGTTTTAATTGACCGACTTAAAAAAAGGAGGTTATCAATTCGACACGTATATGTATATAATATTATTAGAACTGCAAGATATTATCATAATATGATATATTAGGGCTTCGAAGCAAATATACAAAATTTTATAGGTGTACGTATGTATGTTTGTTTAACGATGTATGTATGTATGTTTGTTTGCTTGTGTGTATGTATGTTTGTCCACGCATTTCGCTGAAACTACTGTTCCGACCGACGTGATGATGCTTTTTTATTTGCTTACAATTATTTTAACTTAGGGAATAGTAAGAATTTCATCAAAATTGGTTTAGTGGTTTTGAAGATATGGATAAAAAAGTGTATTTTTTGTAATTACTACTTTTTACAAAAACTATTTCAGTTTTTAATTAAAACTAAAAATTACGAAATAAAAAAGGTTTTAAAAAAAATTAAACCAACTTCAAAAAACTATTATGGTGCTTTCGCGCGCAATGTGAATCTAGACGAACGCAACAAAGTACAAAAATATTGTGTCAAAAGTGAATAAAGAATATTAAAATTTAAAAATATATTATTAATGTTTTAAAAGTTCAAAACGAAAATCAGATTTAATCAATGAATTATCGACTTTAACGCACAGTGAAGTAGGCACATTAATAATTGTAATAGCATAGTAAGAGATGACATTATATTGCGAATACTCGCACACGCACTAGTCACTACAGTAGTTTACTCATAGTACCTACGCGATATAATGGCGCTTCCACACAGCAGTGCAGCAGATAACATCACATACCTAACATTTTTTAACATGAAATAATTTTAAACCCACGAAAAAAAGGAGAAGGTTCTCAATTCGACACGTATAAATATATTTTTTTATTGTTTGACCTCTTCTTACTTTTGTACTAGGTATCTACTATATCTACATTAAAAATGGAAAATAAAAACTTAAAAAAAAACTACTTTAAATAAATAAAAATATTGTAAATGATTGTTTAACTTATGAATTATTTTAATATATACATTGATTTTAATTTTTAATTATTTATTGTTACTATTTTTATTAATTATAAATTCTAATTCATATTAGGTATTGTAAAAATTAAGAAAAAAGTTTAAATTAATAAACATTCTTTATATACATAATAATTAATATAACATTAGATCTAATACTATTATTATAATATAACTGAATATGAAAGGATTTTATTAATAATTAATAAATACTTACTTTCTTAAATTGTTTTAATAGCAATTTTAGTAAGCGCAAGAAATGAAAGGCTTTTTTATTTTAATTTAATTTATTTATTTAATGTATTTAGTTTGTGTTCGGTGTTTGGCACGTGTTTATGATTCTCGGTGCTTGTGGCAAGCGCCCAGCATGTGGACGCGGCTTAACAGATGTTTAATAAAAAAAATTAACGCTTGTGAGGAAGCACCTTAAAATTTAATATATAGCTATAGCTCGGGTAGGTTCGGCAGGAGTCGGTTACGTTCCCCCCCAACGTGCGTTCACCTTGTCGTGGTGGGGGGGCTCAGTAGTAGTAGCGAAGCTAAGAAACGCACAGGGAGGTTGCCCACTTCGGTGGGCGGTGGGAGGTGGCCCTCTTCGGGGGGCGGTGTATCATGTGGGTTGCTCCTGGTACTTCTCTGATAGCAGAGTGGACCTTGGAGCAACCCCATGGTTGTGGTGGTCTGCTTCGGCAGACCTGCCGTCGGGGCGTCGTAGTTGAATGCGTAAGCGATCCTGCGACGCCCCATTAAGACGGGGGAAGGTTTTGTTGGGTTTTAGTGGGTAGTACTGGCTGTATTACGCCGGTGAGTCCCACACGTCGTGCGTAAATGCATTTCCCAACGTTAAAAAAAAAAAAAAAAAGGAGTCGGTTACGTTCAGTTCAGTCAGTCGCTCCGGTGATCGGTCCAATATATTCGTTTCTCGCTCCATCTCACTCCTGCACATGTGGAACTATATGGAACTGTGAACCTGTTTCAATTGACATCGCGGATTGGAACGATATCGTTCCGGCCTAGGACATAGTTCCGGGAACTATTTCAATCCGGACCTACGCATGTCTACCCGGTTGGGTTGCCGGGCACTACTGAGCCCCCCCACCACGACAAGGTGAACGCACGTTGGGGGGGTAATATAAACACCTATGACTAGAGAACAAACATTCGCGCCCATCACACAAATTAATGCCGCCAGCGAGACTTGAATCCGCGACCGCTGGCACAACAAGTAGGGTTACTACAAACTACCATTTTTTTACTTTGTTTATATATATGTCCTTTCAATCATCATTGCTTTACAAACTACATATAATATAATTAACCGTTTCAGCCAAATCAACTGAACAGTATTTTATAGCATTTTTGAAGTTATACTTCTTTTGGCGTGTTATGAAAAATGAAAAATAGATGATGAGAGTGATTTTTTTACGATGCGACAGATTTAGACTTCAGTATGAAGTTAGTCGTTATTGGCTACAGTGTGAAGTTAGTCGTTAAATATCCCTTTAGTATAGTGAGATGTCTATATTGAAGATATTTATTCCGATATTTCTATATAGATAACACGTATTTTATATCAATAAATATAAAAATTATTCGAAGTTTTTATGAAGTTTCACCTGTCTCGGTGTCTGTTTGTAATCAAACCTTGCAAGTTAAATTTGACCCACTTCCCATTGTCCGATTGAGCTGAAATTTGGCATACACTTTTGACTCTTGTGACTACGATTCCCTAAATGCCATTTTTAATCCAATATTGCGGACGTTATAAAATGTCGATTCATTCCATAGTGACTATTATGATATGGGCGTCAAATGAAAGGGCTTGATGAGCGAAACACAATAAGAAAAGTGACGTCATTTAAAATATAATATGGCGGACGACTGTTTATTTTGAACCCCCATGATATGGATATCAAATGAATACAAAATAGATATTATACAAAAAAGTAATAAATATTAAAAAAAAGTTTAAACATTTAAAAAAACAAGCTCTTATTTAATGCTATAAAAAAAAAACAAAAAAAAGTATAACTTCTTACGTGTTTAGTGTGTACATAAGTATACACGCACTTTTTTCCAAAAGTCCCATCCTGTTACAAATATCTGGTATTTGTAACAGGGTGACAGCAAACTGGTACAACACTAGTTACACGTGCCGGTAATTAAAGAAAAGTCTAACAACAATGAACTGCATTGAAAAGAAAGGGATGCATAATTCGAGAATGTCCGAAGATGTTCGAATACATCAACGCGAGTTGCGTTGCGACCAATATAGCTTGAGCTCTGATTTAATTACATTTAATGAATAGGGTCTTGGAATATTTTATGAAAAGTATCTCAGCCTATTGTTTACATAAATAAAATGCTGCTAAAAATATTTTCCCGCAGAAATTACTGTATTATGTTAAAAAATCGAAAATTATTTTTCACTTTTGAATTTGGCGCTAAAAAGCCACTTTTTTCACAATCGTCCAGCGTGACGTCACTTATCATACAGAGCGTGTGTAGACTATAAAGAGCTTGATTATATTCCGTAATCTGTGGGCTCGATCGATTAATTATTATTAATTGAAAAGGGAATAAAAAATAATTATTTAAGTTAAAAATAAAGAAAAATCATGATTTTTATTTAATTATTCCTTTTATAATGAATTCTAGCCCCATAAACTACCGCTATACAAAACATTATATCATTTTATTACTACAGTCCAAGACCCTATTTGAAAATTAAATTTCACTTACCTATGAAAAGTGATGCCATTTTTCATAGGTAAGTGAATACTACTACTATTTCCACACCATTTTATTATAGAGGGAGCCATGTTGCGCGTCTGTTGTATTTTTTGTGTCGGAAATTCACGAGTCTCAAGTAATGTGTTCGTGGGTCACGGATGTGGTCGCTACTGAAGTAAATCGCGCGATCGTTTTCTTAAGTCAAACGTATTTGTTTAACGTGTTGACTGAAAGTGTTCGCCTTGTGTTGTGTGAGGTGTCTATTAGGCTGAGTAGTCGTTGATTACTAGCGACTCACTCTCACTCCACTCGGGTTCGTCACTTGGTGCGTTTTAATGGTTAGTATATATCAACACACTAAATTTCGTTAAAATCTGTCCAGTAATTTTCTCGTGATGCATAGGTACAGACAAGACAAAAATCAAAAACCTATAGATTCAGCCTCTGTATCGATAATAATGACTATTTCAATAAGATTTTCCAAAAAATATTTAAAGTACAGATAACTAACTGAGTTTTAATTTGAGTTAGAATTTTATTATATGTATAGAAGATTTATATCTAATATTATACTTTTAACACTTTTGTAACACTGATACACACAAAAACTTAGTTAAAAACGTTATTGTGGTCGAACATAAGGAACATTGTAATGAATGAGTCAACGGTGAGAATGTTGTGTTATGATGTCACGCGAGTATGGCGCACTCGCGCGAAATAGTTGAAAACGACGGAAACTAAAATAGTTGTAACTTCAACACTACTTGTTTGATTTAAATGAAACAAAAACAGATGTATTCCTAAACATTTAGGCTACGTGGTAATAAAGTTTCAAGTCATTTATTCAGACCCATTGACATTCTTCATTGTCAATTGTCAAAATCTCATTGATCACACTGAATTATGGAGGGAAGAACCACGGTAATAATATTACATATAGTATTCCATCAAGTTATGGTTACACCTTGTCCATCCGCTTTAGATTAAGATTTACATAGAATAAGAGTGACGCAAACTCAGCGTCTAGTCGGCCCACCCGGCATCCGCCGGCCGAGTATGTATTTAGACATTAAAGGAGCCTCAAATCGGCTACATGTGTCTCATTTAGTTTTATTTTTTTCTTAATTTAGTTTTAAGTTAATAAAAATAGTTTTCGAAACGCTCCGAAACCAAAAGTATCTTCATACAAACGGTCGGAATTCGAGTTATACCTACGCGGGTCGCGTTCGGTATACACTCGGTAGACACCGTGCGGGGCTGCCACATCGTATAATTGTATACGAAAATTGTATAAGGTGGTTATGTTATGTAACTTATAATTGAATACAAAAATAAACATTTTATTCCTCCCGTAACTTCACTATGTCAAACAAAAAAGTATCGAGACATTGTTATAAAAATTAATTAATTAAATTAAAAATAAAAATTAAAGTATTTTTAATTAAAAAAATTTATCCGAATGTGGATTCTTTATTCCATTAAATTTAACATAATAAAGCTTTTCGTACGTCTCAGTCGAGGCGCAAATATTTTTCAATCTCAAATTTATAAGGGCCACATACCACCCTTATAAATTTGATATTTTTAATTAAATCTACTAATAAAAAAATTTAAATAAAAAATATAATATTTGAAATCACAAAATTAGAAAGAAACTCAAGTAGGTAGATGAACATTTTAAATAAAACTATCTTTTCGGATTTTGTCGCGGATTTATTTGCATTTTTGTTTCCCGACGTTTCGAATGCTTTACAGCATCCATGGTCACGGGAGAGACTGAGGTGTTACATGTCTTGAAGGTATAGTTGTTACAGACAGCCTACCCACAATTAACAAAATGAAAATTGCACCAATTACATTACAATATTTTTTAACTTTAAACATTTTTATAATTTTAATTATAATTGAATATGGAATAATATTTATTTAATTTTTGCTATTATTTTTATAATTATTACAATTTTAAAATATTAATTAGTAATCTATATTTAGTGTTCGGGAAACAAAAATGCAAATAAATCCGCGACAAAATCCGAAAAGATAGTTTTATTTAAAATGTCAAATATTCGCGTAAATCTAAGAAGAAAGTATTAGGTAGATGAAATGAACGGCGGGCAGCCCTGTCGCGTGGGTACGTGCCGCACAGCTGTAGGTAATTATTTCAAGGACAATCCCTTGGAATTCTGTATGCATTACATTATCGTGGTAGAACTAAGGGGAACCAACTTATACGTGAAACAAGTTGAAAAAGTGAATTCAGAACTCACTAATAAAGCGCTAGCATAACAAGTAAATGAGATGTGAAGTTAGCAGTTTTAAACGGAGTGAAGTGTGCTGAATTATTATTACTTGCAAATAATACGTAATTATATTTAATATCGGTTTTTGCCTATGTTAGAACTATTTTGAAAAGTGAGCCACAACAAAGCGGAAATCTTTCTTTCCTTGTTTAATTCACCATCTTACTCTTATGACTTTGGCGCTATGTTTTAAATTCATCTACTTGTTTTCTGTGGTGCCACCAATTTGACGTAAGTCAGCGGTCATTTTTTATACGACTGATAGTTCTTAGTTTTACCCTCCATATACTGAATGTACTCCGGGAAATTATAATTTAACTGATACTGCCATATGATACTGAAATGGAGACGATTGACAAAAGTTGTGCAACTATAATAAAACTAGTGAAATTATAATTATAATTTCTCGGCTTTTAAAATATCCCTGCAACATATACATGTGAAGATACTACCTCATCTTTTTTTTGATATTAGTAAACAAAAATTATATGTTTGGCTTTTATTTCATGTTAAATATCCTCCATATATCAATTTAAAAAAAATCTATGTACAATCTTGAACCTGTTACAATTTTATTACATTATGTATAAAGTATTTTTTTTAATTGAACATATACATGATATAGTTCAATGAAACTAACTTTTTTAGGTATTGTTTGTTGAATGAACATAATATAAAAGTGGTAGTTTTGGGCTTAAACATGTACACTCAAGCATATTGCTTAGTGCTTCGTATATTACGTAATAAAATTCTTATATTTTTCATTGGTTTATTTCAGAAATTATTATCATCATGTGTATGGAAAGAATATACTACAGATGCTGGACGAGTCTACTACCATAATATTGAAACAAAAGAATCAAGCTGGGTCATTCCTAAAGAACTTCAAGATATTAAAGAAAAAATAACTGCAGAGGAAGCTGCTCAGTAAGTACTTGTATATTTTTATTGATTTTTATAAGAGCGCCAAATTAAGAAAAATAAAATAGTAAAGATTTAACTTCCTCATCTTTTAAGGTTTTTTAACTTTTTTATATAGGATAGACTTTTCATTTTATTTTCGCTCAGATTCAATAAGAGACTATATTAACTAGTATCAAGCAAAGATTTGTATGGTCAAATTGATTTAAAATCTAATTAACGTTTGATGTTTTCTGCTGGACACAAACACTTTTGAATTCCAATTTCCAAACATTTCTTAACATCATTTATAGGGCAGCACTTAGTGCAGATGTTCCTCCAGGAGAAGTTCCACTTCCATCATCACCTGCAGTACCTACTTCTGGAAGTTCAGCCCTTGACGAAGCTATGGCAAAAACTTTAGCAGCTATTGATCCATCCCTAGCCAATGCTATACCTATTCCTGAAGAAAGTAAGGTTTAAACTTTAATTTGGTTATTTATAGATATTATACTATGTCTTAACCCTGTAATTTGTTTATATGAAGATACAGAATACACAATCATGTTTTTATCAAAATAAATATACATATTCATTGCAGTCAACCCTGAAGAAATAGCAGCACCTCCACAACCAAATGGCACTGAAGCAAATGAGCCAGAACTACTGCAGTACAAGGACAAAAAAGAAGCTATTGAAGCTTTCAAAGAGCTCTTGAAAGACAGGGTATGTAAGAGTAACTTATATTTGTTATCGTTTTTTGTTATCTTATTCATTTTATAAATTAAATATAGATTAAATTCAATGAGGCAGTAACAATGTTAATTAATTTTTACTATAATAAGGTAGCATATTTTGTATGATATTAACCTTACCTACTGTTCTGCATATCCATGTTACAGAAATAGAACCAGGATTTTGATAGATTTTTTTCATAACATAGTGAACTACAAATGATAATTTTATTATTATTATGAGAGAATGAACTTATTAAAAAAAAACCTGGTCCTTTTTATATAATGTTTTTCCTTTTCTTAATGAGTAACAATTATTTAAACTATGTTTTTGATATTAAATTAAAAAATAAACATCAATTTTAGAATGTGCCCTCAAATGCGACATGGGAACAATGTGTTAAAATAATATCAAAGGATCCGAGATATATAACTTTTAAAAAGCTTAGTGAGAAAAAGCAAGCGTTTAACGCGTACAAGACCCAAAAATTAAAAGATGAAAGGGAAGAGCAGAGGTAATATATATACATTAAGAATATACTCGTAAATATTTTTTTTATTTACATTTAGAATTATATTGAAAAAATATTTCAAATGTAATAAGTTTTTTTTTTACCTATCTACAGTAGTATAATATTTTTAATTATGTAGCCTAAAACACATTTACAAATACATCACATTTTAGTTCCTGTTTTCCAATTACAGAGCATAATGCCTCACTTTGGAGCACAAACACGAACAACGCGAAAAAAACATTTCTTATATTTTCAACCGACTTCAAAAGGGAGGAGTTTTTCAATTCGACTGTTTTTCTGTTTTTTTTTATGTTTGTTACCTCAGAACTCCGTCATTTATTAACCGATTTGGACAATTTTTGTGTTATTTGAAAGTTTATACTTCCAGATTAGTCCCATTTAAATTAAAAAAAAAATACCACCCCTAAGGGTGGAAAAATAGCTAATGATGAATTTAACCTACTTCTAATTGTCATATTGACTTGAAACTTTGCAAGTGTTTCTATTTCCGTTGATAGTACAGTGGTTCGGTATTGTTCACCTGATCTGATGGTAAGGCCTGAAGGTGGATAGATGGAATTCTTCAACTGCTAATAGTAGATACTTTGAGTTTGGGCTTATTTTGTTTGATTTGACAAGCCTAACACGTTAGAATTCTTACTTTTCTGCTACTGTCTACACTAAAAAGGGAAAAATAAAAACTTTTTAACAAAAAAAATAAAAATCGACTTCAAAAAAAAGCACTAAAAAGTAAAAAATAACTGATTGGTAGTTTTCATTTACTATACATACCTAATCAAATATTTTCGACGTCGGTGTGCTTTGGCTAAGTAATTAAAGCCTTCCTATTAAATACATACCTAATCAAATATTTTCGAAATCGGTGCCAGCCCATACAAAGCAATTTTTTACTTTTTAGTGCTTTTTTCTGTTATCCGTTGCGCGCATCACGCCAAAGCAGTTTCAAAAGTTTCAAAGTGCTCGATTGTGCGGAGATTGAAACATTCGAAGTTGAGCATTATGCCGCATAATGCGCTTTAGTGCTGTAATTGGAAAACTACCAGTATTCATTTTTATATAATACTAGCATTGCCCGCGGCTCCGCCCGCGTTCAGATGACTAAAAACCAAATTCTTAGGTCTTAAATATTAGTACACTCTTAAATTGCAGTTTTTGTATTTTTTCTCAGAAATGAGACGTTTTCCTGCGTTAAAAAGTATCCTATATGTTGACCCGGATAACCAGCTATTTGCAGTGAGTGCGAAAGCGATCCTGCACGCCCCATTGCACTGCGGCGAAGGGTTCCGCTGTGGGTTTTAGTGAGTAGGAGTCTCACAGTACCCTGCCCATGACGGCGGCAGGGTCCCCATGATGGGTTTCCCCAGCGAAAACAAAGAAAAAAAAAGGATAACCAGCTATGACCATACCAAATTTCATCAAAATCCCTCCAGTAGTTTTTCTGTGATGCGGTAACAGACAGGCAGACAAAAATTCTAAAAACTATAGATTCGGCCTCTGTATCGATAAAAATGTCTATTTCAGTAAAAATTTCCAAAAAAATATTTAATGTACAGATTTAACATAGTTAGAATTTTATTATATGTATAGATATTTATATATATTTTGTTTCAGGTTGAAAACGAAAAAGAATAGAGAGAATTTGGAAGAATTCTTATTGAGCTGTGAACGCGTGACATCTCTCACCAAATACTACAAGTGTGAGGAAATGTTTAATAATCTTGAGGTTAGTTTTTTTAAATTCAAGTAAAACTAAAAACAAAATCATCGTATTTTAATATCAAATATGTATCTATACATATAACAAAAGTGTAATTGATCGCTGTCTGTACATGGAAGATATTTAAGAAAAACTATTATTGGGGTCTTTATTAACGCAATAGAACCCAAAACAATGTTTTTAGAATTTTTGTCTGTTGTCTGTGCGTTTGTGCGCGCTAATCTCAGAAACGGCTTAACCGATTTAAGTGCGGTTTTCACTGATGTATTGTGGTAAGTTAACTTAATATTTAGTATTTGTTTTATTTCAATCTGTTAATAAATAAAAAAGATATGTCAGTTTAAACAATCACATGACACATTTATTGAATAAAAAATGCTATATAGTACTGTTCAGTTGATTTGGCTGAAATTTTAACGAGCATCTACACTATGAGAAGGTGAACGCGCGTTGGGGGGGAATAAAGTGACAACCTTGGGTGTGTTTGTTAATACGCTTTAAGGTTTAAAAATAAAATTTCGTCTGGAAAAAAGTGAAGGATCCACCACATAGATCGGGGTCTTCTACTATTATACATATACTAGCATTGCCCGCGGCTCCGCCCGCGTTCAGATGACCAATAACCAAATTCTTAGGTTTTACATATTAGTATACTCTTACATTGCAGTTTTTGTATTTTTTCTCAGAAATGAGACATTTTCCCGCGGTAAAAAGTATACTATATGTTGACCCGGATAACCAGCTATCACCATACCAAATTTCATGGAAATCCGTCCAGTGGTTTTTCTGTGATGCAGTAACAGACAGACAGACAAAAACTCTAAAATCTATAGATTCGGCCTCTGTATCGATAATATTGTTTATTTCAATTAGATTTTCCAAAAAATATCTAATGTACAGATTCGGCTTAGTAACAATTTTATTATACGTATAGATTACATTGTAACCCAAATAATCTCTTGCTTTTTACTTTTTTCATTTTTTATTTCTATTATTTGTTATTTATTGTGATTTTATCACAGGTGGTAATGTATGGTTGACTTTGGTTAAAATATTGTGCCTACTATTTACTTATAGTATAATAATAATATTATATTTCATCATATCGGCACCTTCCCTATTTGGTATAGATCTTAATGTTTTAATTAGTAATGTTATATAGAGGCACGAGTAGTCCCTATCCGCACTTTGTCGCGAACCGTTCTACAATACAATACAATATAAATATATACTTCAAGGTGTTTTTATTCCCTTCCACACGGCATAAGTTTTCAAGCTATTTAAATATACTGAATGAACACAATTTCATGCCATACTACCAAGTGGCATAATATTAATAACTTTGGTATTTAGATATGGCGCTGTGTTCCGGACTCCGATAGGAGAGATATCTACGAAGACTGTATCTTCACTATCACTAAACGCGAGAAAGAGGAGGCAAAGGCGTTAAAGAAAAGAAATATGAAGATGTTAGCACAAGTAAAGCATTTTTTTATATTATTTTCTATATTTAATAAATTAAACTTACTTTATAACTAAATATGTACGTTTACTTCAAAGTAACTTAAAAGTTATTAGGACGTAATAGATTTTATTATGAAGTTTTGGAATTTATATATGAAGGGTAGGGAGGTCCACCCCTAGCAGTAGGACGTTAAAAACGGCTGAATACAATATTTTTGTCGTTTAAAATCAAATAGTGTTTCATTATTTATTGACCTTTTTTAAACTTTACTAATCAACTACATTTGTGAAATAACTTACAGGTTTTAGAGAACATGAGCGAAATTACATACAGCAGTACTTGGAGTGAGGCGCAAGTACTGCTTCTAGAAAACGCTGCGTTCAAAAATGATGTCAGCTTATTGGGAATGGACAAAGAGGACGCTCTCATAGGTAACACTTGTTCGTTTTCAACTTACTCACATCCTTAGTTTGTGAGTTTTTAAATGCAGCTGAGTGTAACATAAGTGACTGTTTATTTCGATATATGGAAGTTTTTCTGTGGGACATTAGACTACACGCACGCACGTACTTTAATTAGATTTGCATTAACTACGTACGTATATGCCTAAAAAAGCCAAGGAGGGTTTGTACCTTATATAACTTTATAGTTATACTAGTAATTTTAATTTATTACGTAATAAGACGGAAAAATTTAAACTATCATAATGCAAAAAAAAAACATTCATAATATTTTTCAGTATTCGAACAGCATATCAGGAATTTAGAGGCTGAATATTTACAAGAAAAAGAACAAGTGAAGAAGAGAAACAAACGACAACAGAGGAAGAATAGGGATAACTTCTTGGTAATTTGTAAAGCCTAATATTATCTTTGGTTTATTGTTAATAACATGATTAATAATTATTAAATTCGATTTATTTATTTGATCCATCATATCGTGATGGAATAATTAATAGCACTTCAATGTGCAATGTGGCCTTGTTTTGATTTTTCTTTCTGGCCTATAGCTCTAACTATTTCAAAATTACTCTTAAATAAATTAAAACGTACATTTATCGTTCGTTAAACGTAAATTAGACATTTTTAATAAAACTATCTTTTCGGATTTTTTCGCGAATTTATTTAGATTTTTGGTTCCCGACGTTTAGAATGCTTTACAGCAATCATGGTCATGTAGACAGACAGGTAGATGTAGTAAGTTCTTACTGTGTAAATTAAAATTATAGCATTTCTGATTAATATTTTTCATTTGTAAATGTATGTAGTAATAATGTGTTGCTTAATAATCTGTTTTTAAATAATAGCAAATTTAAATTAAAATTATTATTTTTAAGTAATCTTAACTTTTTCAAATTACACATAGATCAATTATGTGACTTGAATAATTAATATATTATGATTTTTCTTTATGGTTATAAATATAATAATGGCAACACTAAAAATGTAGATTACTAATTAATATTTTTAAAATTGTAATAATTATAATAATAACAGCTCAAATTAAATAAATAATATTCCATATTCAATTATAAAGCTAATTAAAATTATATAAAATGTTTAAAGTTTAAAGTTAAAATATTGTAAGATACTTTGGTGCCATTTTTCAATTTTTTGAATTCATTTTGTTATTTGTGGGTAGGCTGTCTGTAACAACTATATAATACCTTAGAGACATCTAACACCTCAGTCTCTCCCGTGACGATGATTGCTGTAAAGCATTCGAAACGTCGGGAACCAAAAATCAAAATAAATTTGCGAAAAAATCCGAAAAGATAGTTTTATTTAAAATGTCAAGTATTCGCGTATATCTAAGAAAGTATTAAGTAAATTAGACAGTTAAATGTATGTGTGCTGTATGCCTGTTTGTTTGTCCGTGCAGGCACTGCTGGACGCACTGCACGAGGAGGGCAAGCTCACGTCCATGTCGCTGTGGGTGGAGCTGTACCCCGTCGTGTCCGCCGACATGCGATTCTCCGCCATGCTCGGTCAGTCTTAACTTATATGTAGGGCATTCCACGCCAAATCGGACGGTTTCAAAAAAAAATATAATTTTAATTTTTGAATTTTAATAATGAAAAAAAATAATGTTTAAAAATCGAATAAAGATTAGTAATTATGGAAGGCCCACTACCGGACTGGGCTTAAAAGTTTCATGATTAATAGAAGTTTAAAAATAAATTTATTTAAAAAAAAACAAAAAAATCTAAGGATACACACAGTTTTAAAAACACGATTGAAAACTTAAAATTCAAGTCTTGATTAAAACATTTTTAATTTGTTTTTTTTTTATATATTTTTATGTAAGAATCATCCCAAAACAAAAAAAAATGAAAAAAAGGAACTGCGACCATTATTAAGAAAGTTATAAGCAATGAATCAAAAAAAGAGCGTTTTTTTGAAAATTCGTAATTTTTGAACCACTGATCAAAAAAATCTCAAAATTAACAAAGGAGCCTCTTTTGAGGGGTACTAAAAATACCAAAATGTTAAGAAAATTAAAAATAAATTTTTTTGAAACCATCTGTTTTGGCGTGGAATGCCCACATATATTTTATCTATAAAATTGAAGTGTCTGTTTGTGATGTCAAAATAAAAGCTTTTTATTAAATGCATAAAGGCAGTGGTATTAGGCAGGTAAGCGCTCGCTTGGGAATTCGAGTGAAGCAATTCGACACGTATGTATGTAATATTATTGGAATAACAAAGTATTTACATAATAATGATAATCTATTAGGGCTTTCAAACAAATATACACAATTTTATAGCTGTATGTATCTATGTATGTATGTTTGTAGGTATATATGTTTGTCCACGTTTTTCTCCGAAACTAGTTATCCGATCGTGATCATTCTTTTTTTATTTGCTTACATTTATTTAACTTGGGCAATAGTAAAGATTTCATCAAAATCGCTTTAGTAGTTTATATGATATGGACTAAAACATGTAACTAAAACTGAAATAGTTTTTGTAAATTACTACTTATTACAGAAACTTTCAATTTTTACTTAAAACTAAAAATTACGAAAAAAAAGTAATTTAAAAAACTTAAACTGACTTCAAAAAAAATTACTATAAAATATTAAAAGTAATTGAATGGAGGTTTTCATTTACTATAGATACCTGATCAGATATTTTGGTGCAAGTTGGTGCCAGCCGACAATGCTTTAAGATATTATTATCTAATAGGTAAATATGAGAAGGTATGAACTCTAATTATACTAAAATATTATATTATGTATCAATTTGTGATATATTTATATGTATAAAAATAGATTTGCTTTGCATCGGCTGGCACCGACTTCCAAAATATCTGATTAGGTAAATATATTTATACTAAATGGTTTTTTTATCTATACTAAATTTAAACCTCCGTTCAATTATTTTTTACTTTTTTGTATTTTTTTTTTAAATTAGTTTAATTTTTTTTAATTACTTTTTTTATATAACAGCAATGAATAGAATATTGAGTTTGTATTCAAAACAAAGAAAAGTTAGGATTTTTCGAACAAGTGGTTTTGTATCTATCGAAAGCTTCTGCGAAGATTCTTATGTGTTTGGTGCACTGACATTCTTTTTTGACTTGCAATTTTAATTTTTTTTGTAAATAATACTCTTAATGATATTTAATTTTAGGACAAAGCGGATCTACACCTTTGGATTTATTCAAATTCTATGTGGAAAATCTGAAGGCCCGGTTCCACGACGAAAAGAAAGTGATCAAGGAGATATTGAAAGAGAAAGAGTTCGAAGTGAAACCGGATACAACTTTCGAGGAATTCGCTACGGTCGTGTGCGAAGACAGCAAGTCTGCGTCGCTGGACGCCGGCAACGTCAAACTAACCTATAATTCTTTATTGGAAAAGGTATTTTTTAATCCATATCTGCATCTAAACAGAAAGATTATTTAAAGCTAAAATTCCAATATAAATCTTTATATATATATAATTCTTCTGTGAGTGTGTATGTCACTGAACTTCTCTCAAACGACTGGACCGATTTTGATGAAATTTTTTGTGTGTGTTCAAGGGGATCTGGGAATGGTTTAGATTCACAATTTAAATAATAATTTTCATCAAAATAATTATTAAAAAAAGTTTGAAATTTTCAAATTAAAGACGTGTAGACAGGACAACGTCTGTCGGGTCCGCTAGTATCGTATAAAAGAAATATGATAAAGAAAAATTTAAGTGATATCACGTGACATGGTTAGTTTTTTTTAATAGTGACATTAAATAGTAATAAAGTAACAATATCCTTCAGGCCGAAGCTAAAAACAAGGAGAAACTAAAGGAGGAATCGAAAGCGCAGAAGAAGATCGAGAGCGCGTTCAAGTGGGCGCTAGCGGCCGCCAACGTGGACCCGGCGCTGCCGTGGGCCGACGCGCGCGCGCGCCTCGACCTCGCCGCGCCCGAGCTGGCCGCCGTGCCCGACGACGACGACCGCGCGCGCATATACAAGGCGAGTGCACGCATCCCCCACTGAAGCAGCGGAAGTTACATCGTTATAACATTTTCGTTTATATACATTTCTATTACGAGGTAGGAAAGAGAATATAGCCAATTAGTATTTTATAATACTACCAAAATAATTCATCAATACAGACAGACTCACACTGTGCCAGGGCGGTTATTGTACAAGATATGCCGTGATAATCTTGAGTAAATCGTGCAACTGATTGTTAATTGTGCTCAACCCTTAACTCTGCCATTATTCGGAAAATTATGGATCATGTTTAAGTTAATTAAGTCTTTTTTAATTTATATTAACTGTGTCGTTTATATAATAAATATACATATAAATAAAGTTGAAGTTTCTGAAATATAAAAATAACAGCTTTTTACTAAATGCATATTAAATTATATACAGTATTTATAATAAAAACACAATTTTAAACATTGTTGTCTGTCTGTCTGTTTGTCCCGGCTAATCTCCAAAACGGCTGATCCAATTTTGACGGGGCTTTCACTGGCAGATAGCTGATGCTATAAGAAGTTACTTAGGCTACTTTTATATTAGAAAAAGAATTATCGTTTCCCAAAACAAATTAAAATCTACCTAGAGACAAACGCGAACGAAGCAAGGGTGAGTCGCTAGTAATAAATAATATTATCAATTACAAACAGGACTTCCAACACGAGCAAGAGGACAGTTGCCTGCACTACCACCACCCCAAGCCGCGCAAGTCCAAGCGGTCGAAGAAGAAGAAACAGCGGTCGCGGTCGGCGTCGGCGTCGCGCTCGCCCTCGCCCGCCACCTCGCGCGCCTCCGACGACCCCACCTCCGGCTCTGATGAAGATAAGAAACATAAGAAACCCAAGAAAAAACATCGCAAGCATTCACCGCCGCCGGTGAGTGTATAATAATATCCTCCTAACAGATTTCGCAGATGCGCAGGAGATATTATAGTGTAGCGTGTGTACGTGTAGACACCACGTACACTCTATTTCTGCCACTCTCAATGTCCGATTGGACGATATTTCTACACAACCGGTGAAAGTGACGACACAGGACCGACGCGACACGTGGTCTCCGAGGCGAGGGGGCGCAACACTGCCAACTTCCCAACTACGAGCTACTACTGAGAATATCTTAACTGAAAACTCTGTACTTATACTTGGCCCGATCCGGGACTCGAACTCAGAACCTCCGGATCTGCAACCGTACATGCTAGCCACTTGACCACCGAGGCAATATAGTGGGCGATCGCCTTTCATCTTAAGGATAAAATGCCACCAAATGAAAGGCTTGGCAAGAAATATCATTTTTTATGCATAACGGTTTTGAAGTTAAAGGGCAGTAGCACCATTTGGTGGCAAGTTACAGATATATTCGTCAACCCTAGAGCCGTTTTCCCACTGTCGTATAAAAGTACGTATGACAGTCGGGTGCGTCTCTATCTCGTCTCCTGTCGCACGCCCTATTGTATTCAGCTTTTCTTAGATATATAGTATTAGTATTCTTAGATATGAGTTGGATCAGGCCATAGTCCACCGCGCTGGTCAAGTGCGGTTTGGCGGACTTCACGTGTCTTTATAAAACTTTTTAGGTTATCTCAGACATGCAATTTTCCTCACGATGTTTTCCTTTACCGTAAGACAAGTGGTAATCATGTTGAAAATGATTCGCGCATGAAAATATCAGAGGTGCGAGACCCGGGATTTAAGCTTCACTCGGTTACCCAAGCGAGCACATCACCACTGGGCTACCGCTGCCTATTACACTGTTTAAATACTATATGTTGTTAGAGTACTGTATGACTTAGTAGACTGAAAAAGAAGAAGAGTAACTGTTGAGTTTCTCGCCGGCTATTCTCAGCTGAACTGCTTTCCGAGCCGGTAGTAGCTTCCTGACGGACTGACTACACTGACGCTTTTTAAATTATATTGACGATTCAAAAGTGCTTATAATAAGTATAATTGAATAAAGTTTTTTTCATTTCACTATTAGACTGTGCTATTGTTGTCTTAAACAAATTTAAAGTTAATTTTTAGTCTAAGATGACTTTGTCTCTGTTAGGAAAGTTCATAACTTTAACATTGAACACTACAATGTGTATGTATTTGGTGGCCACTGATATAACATGCGTTACTTATCTTTATTAATAGGGCTCCCTCATTAGTGGTCACATCATATTTATTCTACAATATTAGATCGCTTTTTCTAAAGTAGAAACGTTTTCTGGTCGAGGTAAATAATACTTTTAGTTATTTGAAAAGAAAAATTAAGGAAAGAACTAATTTATTAAATTCTATACAACTAAATAATAAACATTTTTTTATTAATATACTTATGATGCAGAAATCCCCGACTCCGGAGGAGGGTGGTATATCAGACGAAGAGCCTGTGAAACACAAAAGCAAAAAGACGAAGCGCAGTGCGCCGAGTTCACCCGACCAGCCCGAGATTGCTCATAAACCTAAGAAGAAGAAGGAGAAAAAGGAAAAGAAAGAAAGGTAAAACCATGTTCTCACTACTTCCAATATACTTTGCAGTGGGCATCTCAATTAAATTATATTATAATAAGATCATATTTAATAAAATTACGAAAGCATTAGAATCTAATCTAAATTTAAATTGCGGCATTTATGTAGTTCTCGTGAACCAAGCCTCACCTTAGTTTTGTAGATAAATTTTATGTTTAGATCTTTTCGTTGCGTTATAACGTAACAATAATTGTAATTGTCATTCAGTCTCGAATTATGCAAATTTTACATTACAGTGAGGCGCGCACTAGAGACCATATGCCGCAAGATTAAAGTATTCCGTGAGAATTACAATTTATTTTTCTAACGATTGACGAAAATATGTAGAAACTACAAATGATCTGAATGATAATATTGAACTATAATAAAAATATTACTATTAATGAAACGTGTGTATAATATTTATTCCATTATAATAATATAATTAGTATACCAGATATTCGTTGAGGTTCTGTCGTTTTATTTTGCGAAAAAGTGCGCATGTTCGGAAGAATCTGGGTATATTCGGTTGTCCTTGTGACTTAGTGATCGGCGGAAGTCTATTGTTTATTGCTCAGTAACTTTGCACCATTTATAATTGGGTTGATTGACTCAAAGCAGCCCCGCCCCACACTCGTTAAAGTTTGCCAAAGTAGACCTTCAAACACCTCGCTGCCTTTATCTCACACTTATTTTTTTCCTACTATTTAGATACATCCTGCACGGATACCAGATTGTTACCGGATATCTGTTTCATCTCTAATAATAAATGAATTGACGACACGTTTGGCTCAGTTTGTAGTGACCCACTTGCTGTGCCAGCGGTTACGGGTTCGAGTCCCGCTGGCCGCATTCAATTGTGTGATGACGTATGTTTGTACTCCAGTCATGGGTTTATAATGTTTATAATGGGTTTATATATAAAATATGTATTTATTTAAAGTTATATATGTGTAGTGTTTCATCTGGTATCCATAACACAAGCCTCGTAACTTATTATGCAACTAGATGGTGTTGTGTGTTAATGTCCCAACATATTTATATTTGTTTAATGGTGAAAATATTTGTTTGTTTAAACGAAACAGATCGGGCGGGTCAGCGGCGTGGAGCGACGCAGAGCTGGAGTCGCGCCGCGCGGCGCTCCTCGCGCAGCTGCACGAGCACGAGGCGGACTGACGCCGCGTCACGCACGTGCACATCTTCAACCGCTACCCGGCGCGCCGCCGCCACTGCGCGCGCAGTCCGCACAGTCCGCCCCCGCCCCCCGCTCCGCCCGCGCCCACTCCGCCGCCGACCCCGCAGTACTGCTACAAGAAACTTGCTATCAAACCACCCAGCCCGCCAGAGGACTTTGCTCGACTATATAAACAACCGCAACCCTCTACGATCACAGAATCGGACTTCAAAAAGAAGTACGACGTATGTCCCCTGTCGCAGCCGAGCCCGCCGTCCTTATTGGAGGACTGCATTAAACAACCACTCATATCACCCATGTCGGACACGGCCTCGGAGACTTCAAATGTATAAATATAACATGTATTACTTAATATTGTATTCATTCTATCCTCTCCAAGGATAGACGGCCTCGAGTGCTTTCTCTGACTTTACTATTATAAATATAATAATAAATAAAAATACACTTTCAAATGTTACTTATTCGTTATATTATTTTTATATGAATATTACTTGACACTGTAGTTTTATTTAGATTAATTATACTTTTAAAAAGTCAAGAATTCCAAAAAGATAAAGTCGAATAAATAAAATTGTAAATTATAATGTTTCCAACATCAAAACTAATATAGCAAGTTATGTATATACCTTACAATGTATAGATTTTAAATATATCTGTGTTTAATTAGTAGAAAAAGGTAATATGTTTTTATCTGTCATTCATAAATGTCTTTTTTATTGATTACTGGTTACTTTAAGAGATGAAACAGATGTTGAGCAAAGTTTACGAAAGTGCATGATAGATATACATTATGGGAAAAACCTGTATTATTTAGTACTGTATTAAATTATGTTGATACTTTTAAGTATTTGCATTTATAGTATCTAAATAAAATATGTGTACATCAGTGTCAGTTTTATTTTATTTATTACATCATAGCACATCTATAAGCGACAGTAGACCTACGTGGTACCTACTTACACATCATACTTATAGAGGAAGAGCCCGTGAACGCCAGACCTTCGTCATTTTATAAAGGCTGAAAGTTTGTCAGCGCATGCTCCCAACACAGATAAGAACGATGGACCATTATGAAATTCAGGCTATGGTGGCTTTGGCAGGTACACGATACTAAAGGTGTATAAAATACAGCATTTAATGAAAAATGTTCCAAACAAGTTGGGAGGCATTTCTAAGAAAATGTTGCAAATGGTCACCAAATTTGAAGCGCTAAGAATTGATTTTATTTTTGATGGTGTGTAATAAATGCTATGCTAGCAGTCTTATAAATCATCTAATTATTACCCAAGTATTATATATAAAAATCAGCTTTTATACTATAACGTAAGTATTATTTTATACTATAACGAATTATGATTTCATGAAAAGGGTGTCTGGCAAGGGTTTGCCACGATGTTAAGTGTCTGGCATTGAATCACGTGATTTTTAATAATATTCTGAAGGTAATATAAAAAAATCACACTTTATTATTTGACGAATTTAGATCGGTATTTTACACACCTTTAGTACCGTGTACCTGCCAAAGCCACCATAGCCTGAGCTTCATAATGGTCCATCGTTCTTATCTGTGTTGGGAGCATGCGCTGACAAACTTTCAGCTTTTATAAAATGACGAAGGTCTGGCGTTCACAGGCTCTTAGGCCATTATAGATTGCGCTGGATTTACACTAAAGGCACTCGGGGCCTGTGCCTAGGACGGAAAAATACGAAGGATAAATAAAAACGAAAATGTTATTTTCTCTTTCCAAAAATGTATAATTAAAAAAAATAACTATTTTCGAAATTATCAAAAATTAAAATAATTGAACTTTATCGAAACTATCCATTTTATGCAAAATTTCGATAATGGGGCTGCGCTATGTTTGAATCCGGCACTGCCTATAGAAGTTTGTTGTGAGAAGAGTATTGATATAACCCTTTTTAACCTTTCTTCTTCTTTCTTTTAACCTTTTACCTACCTAAGGTATGAATATTTCATACCGGCTAGTGCGTGCTACCTATATTGGTATGATCAATCAATTTGGTTAAGTTCAATTCGAAATAACGATTACCCTTTTTTTTTTTTTTTTCGCTTCGGTCGCTTACGTGCCTGTTGTATTTATCAATACATATAATAAAATTGTAACTAAGCCGAATCTTTACCTTAAATATTTTTTGGAAAGTCTTATTGAAATAAACATTATTATTATTATACAAAGGCCGCATCTATAGTTTTAAGAATTTTTGTCTGTCTGTGACCGCATCACGGAAAAACTACTTGAGGGATTTTTGATGAAATTTGGTATGATGATAGCTGGTTAGGTCCACATATAGAATACTTTTTACTGCGGGAAAATATGTACTAAACGTTAAAACATAAGTAGGGATAAACGCGAACGGAGCGAAGGTGAGTCGCTTACGTATGGTATAGTCGCACAGACTATATCTGTGTACTGAATTTCATCCAAATCCGTCCAGCCGTTTTAGAATAAAGAGTTTTGTGGTGGTGGTTTTGTGTGTTTTGGTGTTTAGCATTAAGAGTTTAGTGTGACACACTGCACACACAAAATTTCACAATATTATATTATAATAGTAAATATAATTTAACTGATACCATTTATTTTATTATTCCTTTTATTACACTTTTTAGTATCATTTATATATAGTACCCGTGCACGATATTTGAGACCCTAGTGGAATGCGACTCCTCAGTCCCCTCATAGCCAGGGTTCCAACCGATTCCCCCCCCCAACGTGCGTTCACCTTGTCGTGGTGGGGGGGCTCAGTAGTGCCCGGCAATCCAACCGGGCGCGAAGCTAAGAAACGCACAGGGAGGTTGCCCACTTCGGTGGGCGGTGGGAGGTGGCCCTCTTTGGGGGGCGGTGTACCATGCGGGTTGCTCCTGGTACTTCTCTGATAGCAGAGTGGACTGTGGAGCAACCCCATGGTGTGGTGGTCTGCTTCGGCAGACCTGCCGTCGGGGCGTCGTAGTTGAATGCGTAAGCGATCCTGCGACGCCCCATTAAGACGGGGGAAGGTTTTGTTGGGTTTTAGTGGGTAGTACTGGCTGTATTACGCCGGTGAGTCCCACACGTCGTTCGTAAATGCATTTCCCAACGTTAAAAAAAAAAAAAAGGTTCCAACCGATTAATTTGCGAGTTTGTTGTATCGATTTGCTTTGCATCGGCTGAGTCTGACACCGACTTCGGAAATATCTGATTAGATATCTATAGTAAATGAAAACCACCAGTTCGGTTATTTTTTACTTTTTAGTTTTTTTTAAGTCAGTTTAATAGTCTCTAACCTGTAGGAATAGTCTTTGGTAGGTATAAAAATTGGCTTATGAACTTTGTCTCATGTCAAAAACCTTTATCACTCGAGATTTGGTAAATATCTATTTAAAAAAAAAGATATTGTAGAATTAAAAAGATTCATTTATGTATATAAAGATAAAATTAATATATTAATTTTTAAAGTTTTTTTGCATATATCACAATATATTTCATTTTTACTTATTTAAAGAATATTCTGGCACTAGTAAGACTATAATATAACAATTTATATTCTTCTTCAAGAGTTTTTATCTTCTTTTCACTGAGAGCCAACGCTTGTTGTAATTGTAAAGGACCTTTACTTTTCTGCTCATTGATAATTTCTCTTTCTTTTTTTATATGGTTCCAAATTGAGTCAAACCAATGCAGGGCTTCAAAATTGGAATCCTAAAATACAAGAAATAATAAAAAACAGTTGTTTTAAGTGTACATCATGAAAATAAAATATTTCAAATTTGTCTTTTGTAATATAGTAAAAAAATAGTAATTTATCCACTGCGTGGATATTGCATGAAATATTTGTCACGGTTAAACCTGAAAATTTTCTGAAATTTGTTTAGTTCTGAAATTCTAGATTTAACATAATTTATCGTATTTTAGTTTACACACATTTATAAAGCAAAATGGATAGACAGTTTACGAATTAACGACATTTTAACTTCAATAATCAAATATAAGACAACCAAAAAAGGCTCGAGAAGAATAGCCCGAAGTAAACTTTATAGTGACGCGTGCGCTGTCGCGAAAAATAAGTGACTGTTATATTTAAACGATTGATGTTTGGTTTGTAAATATAATTACCTGGTCCAACAACTTCAGAATATATGCGATACCCATCGCAAAACCATCATCGGTAAATGATGCTCCTGCTTTGTTCTTTTTCGACATTTTATCTTTAGATAAAATCATATGCTCTATAAAATTTAACGTCAAAGGCGGAACGATAATGAAAAAGTTTTTTAAGTGTACATTTTTAGGATTTCTAAACACTGGGGCAAACACTTCTACCAGTAATTTGAAGTACTCCGTTCCTTGAATAAAGTTAGATACGAGACAGTCAATATTATCGTCTAAATTTTCCGCTGAACGAGTTGTTTTTTCTCCCAATTCGTTCTCTTCACATAATTTTTTAAAATCCCTGATTTCGAGGTCGGGAAGGAACGCAGTAGCGTCACAACAACAATGCCTCCCGCCTGATCGAATCATGCGGACATATCCCATGGCATTGCCAATTTGACTGATTAATTCTCTGAACAAATCTAAATAGCTTTGCCCGTCTTCAGCGAGTCCTAAAGTTTTAATGCCTTTATTGAACTTTTCTGCATTCTTATACACATAAATGTTTCCGTTATCCCCCGCACTTTCCTTGAAATTTCGAAGATCCTTTATCAATCGAGATTTAATCTGTTCGTCATACATAAATTGAGAAAAAGTGAAGAATTTATTTTTTAAGAATTGATATGTAAAGTTGACCGTAGTGTTCATTATACCAGTGCCGTGGGTTCTTATTGAGTTTGCAATGTGCTGTATATTGATAGAATTCAAATGCTTATTGTTGCTGCTTTTTTCTATAAAAATTTGATTGTTAAGATTGTATTGGTATTTAGAAACGAAAATATGAATATTACGCATGATTTCTAGCACATCTAGGCCTTGTTCCAATGTTTGCGTCGGAAGATTGTCTTGTATTGTCTTAATGTTAAATTTCATTTTTGCCATTTGACGCATTTCCCCATACGTTTTCCAGTCCGACAGCACCACGGTAGTCAAGTTGTAGTACGTTTTGGATAAATATTGTTCCACAGAAGGCGCAACTGACATATACAAATTATGTAATCGAAGACTGTCCAAAAGAAGTAAAGTTTTCTTTATCATATCAAATGTTAACGGATTTACTACATCCAACTGCAAATGTGAATGTATGTGAAGTCGAAGGTTGGTTTCAATGCTTTGACCTAAATTTTGCAAAACTGATTCATCAATAATCAGTTTCACTTTATTTTTGAAATCTGAAGACTTGTCGCCTCCATACTGTTTGTCCGTTTCTTGCAATAGCATTACACAATCATCTAATACCATTAAAAAAAACTTTAGTTTAACAGATTGCAGTTGCATGCTGAAGTTTTGCTCAAAATATATAGATATTATATTTTGATGCCACAATAACCAGGAACAATTACAATATTGCTTCATGCTTTTAATAAAGTTTGATAAGATTTGAATTTTTTCCAGTAGCAAACTTAGTTTAACATAACTGTCTTCTATATAAGTAGTTTCTGGTACAAAATTAAGGGCGATGTTCGTAGCTATGTTTCGTTCAAAAGTCGAAGCACCTTTAATGGCTTGTTCTGCAATTACAATGCACGTAAGTTCATCTAATCTTTTATTAGCATATTTTTTATCACTAATCAATGACTTCTTTATTTCAAGAATTGAAGATACTGCTTGATATGTAAGATGTTGGATGATCATTGAAATGGAATTTATTATTTCATTATAATTTCTGCTTACAGTGTTCCACAAACTTTTAAGAATGTCCATGATATCAAATAATGACATCAACATGTTTTTTGATAACGCAATCCCAAGTGAAAGATGGAGGTTAATAAAAGACAACACTGACCAATTTATATTAGCGGCAATATCAAGCCCTTCCAGTAGAGTTTTTGCATGTAATGACATATCTGCTGCACTGAGTTTATTGTTGCTAGAAAAAAGCTCCTCCACTATCAATATCCACTGCGAGCTTACACTCTGAAGATACATGACATCTTTAGTTAAAGTTATTTTTTTAGTGTTCATGTAAGACTGACGTGACTTTTGCATAGTTTGGGATAGTTTCTTATAATTGCCACAAAGTGAAGGAACAAATCTTTGAAGAAATTGATCAGGAAACCAAATAACAGTGCCCATAATGAAAATACTGTGTGCCTAGAAAAAGAATATTTAAAAGGTTTTTGTTTCAATTTTTTACATCATAAACAAGTTATACTAATGTATACAAATGAACAGGCAAAGACAAAACAGATTAGCACCTTTTTCAACCGATTTTCTTTTACTTTGTTTAGTAGTTATTAATGAGCTTTTATTGATATCAATAAAAAAACATAATGGTAGAATTTCAACTACTGGGCAAACACTAGTACATTTAAATAAGCTGTCAATAATAACAATCTACATCTATATACTACTACTACCAAATTAATACTACATTACAGTAACATAAATTATGTACTTAAAAAATTATGGATTACAGCCTGCATGAGATATAGCATTTATATTTATATACAAAAATATTTACCTTTGTATTTAATTCCATCAAGCTCTTGAATACTTTCTTTTCATTATTGCCAAATAAATATGAAGTTAATACAAATAATGTATTTATTTTTATGCACTTGTACATAGTTTCACTATTCGGTTTATCCTGTGCAAGTTTGTCTAGATTGAGGATAGCATGTCTTATGTACAGCATAAATTCTGCTGAGACTAGTGAACAATTTTTTGCCATTAAATCTTTTTTTCTTAAAATAAGTAAATTATTAAGAGAATTTTGAACTATATCATCATTCATTAGTTTTGTTGTTATACTGTTGACAGCAGCTATTAAAACTTTGAATTTCTCAATTTTAATGTCCATATAATCATCCTTTGCATTTTGAGTTTTTAGAATTTGACTGAATTTATTCCAATTAGATGCCAAAGAACATCTTGATATAAGCAATTCAGTTATAACTAGAATTGTAAAAATCTCTCCAATTTTGTTAATCAAAAAATGCCATTGAATTCCATCTGAAAATCACACAAAGTGGTATGTTTGGCTAGTATATTAGGCATAGTCTATATTAATATTATAAAGAGGAAAGATTTGATTGTTTGTTTGTACCGAATAGGCTCCGAAACTACTGAACCAATTTTGATGAAATTTGATAAGAATATAGTTTGAGACCCTGGGAAGGACATAGGATAGTTTTTATCCCGAAAGTCATCCGTTAAGGGGGTAAAAATGGGGATGAAAGTTTGTATGCGGAATCAACCTAGGGAGTAGGGACGAACCCCAGCGAAGCGAGGTTGAGTTGCTAGTGATTATATAAATTTCATAAAAGATTAATTAATAGTATTAATTAAAGTACAGTGATTAACTATGACCTAGATATTTATTATTAATTATATCAATGAGTATGTAGTTATTATATTATAATATATATGTACTTACTAAGATTAAAAATGTTTTCATTGAAAATGGCAAAAATTTGACTACAGATATTACTAAGAGTTTCATTACAACGACTTATAAATGAACTTAAATGACATATTGATTCCATTTGTAAGGAGATATCACTTTCACTATATTCATCATATACTGCCAAAAATTTGAAATGCCTGGAAAATTCAATGGTTGTTATTTAAAATGATATAAGAGTTTGTTAGAGTATGTAAGTATAAATTACGGCTCAACTGTACAATCTATGACATCGAGTTGAAGCTTCATATTTTTTTCACTAATAGATCTCTCTATTATAAGCCTATATATAAAGTTTGAGACCGCGGAAACAAATAGTTTTGTCAAAAAAAATGTTCAAGTTTTAACTTTTTATGTAATTTTACCACATTTATACACGCACTTATCAATGTTTTTCACAAAGTTCATTACAATATTCTATGTTCTGAGTTATTATCAATCATTATTGTAGTTAAATACATAATTTAATAGTTAAAATCTTGATTTATTTGTACGTAACAACAAATATAAACTGGTACATAGTAAATTGGTTATGTGATATTTCAATGTCAGAATTAGCTAAATAGGAAAAGCAACGCCAATTTGAAATGTCAGTTTTAGTGTCAGTTGCAATTGTTTTTTATTTCCACGCAGGAAACCTTTATTAAAATAGATTTAGGGTTTTTTTGGCAGAAACCTTTCTTTCTAGGTTGGTTAGGTTAGGTTAGAACAGTTAAAACAACGCACGAGCCGATCGAGCGAAGCGAGCGTGCCGCGGTAGCGGCCGGCGAGTGCCAGAACGACTACAACTTTTAGAACTTTTTTCATAATTCGTAGCCACTTTTTCCGGTACCTATTATTATACATGCAAAAGTTGTCTTAAAGCTGTCACCAATTGTGTTTAGGTAATTATTCTAGTTGAAATATAAAACAATGTAAATTGAACCTTAAGCGCAATACTTAAAGTTGTATTTACAATAATTTAACCTGAAAAATTGAAATTTAGAAAATTAAATATCTCGAAAACTATTAGCCTCCGCGGTTTTTCCTTTTAAAGGGGAGTCCCTCTCACCCCCTCCCCTCCTCCCCCACCATCTCTCCTCTCTTAAATCGATGTCATAGATTGTACAGTTCAACCTAAATTACAATAATAGCAAACCTTTTGAATGCCTCATTTTTTAAAATATGAGCTTCCACACATAGTGATGATAAAACACTTAAAACTTTTGTAATCACTGTGTTGTCTGACGCTACCAAGTCAATAGTCGCGATAAGCTCGTGTGATTCCATAACAACTTCTATGGGCGAAAATGTTTTATTTTCACTTTTATATTGTTCTTGTAATAGGGAGGTATAATCTTGATATTGTTTCTTGAAAAATTCACCATAACTTCGTAAAATATACGATCCCGCTTCCTTTTCAACATCGTTCTTCATTTTGGGCTTAATACATTAAAATAAGAACTAACTTGATTTCAGAATAATATTAGGTATTATTCTTTAAAATGGATTTAAATGAATATAATGTAGAACAGCACATACCATACATTTATAAACTTGTTTTAATTGAAATTTACAATGTAACATAAAATCAAAGAGAACGTAACCACTACGTTTTTAAAAATATTATAAAACATAAAAACACAAAAAAATATAAATTAATAACATGACATTGATTGGTGACAACCTGACCACAGAATACTTTGTATCTCTGAATACATATAAATATACAGAATAAATATATATTGGTTGTAATGTCTGTGTTATATATGCTCTTATGTTCTACCGAAGCACCTGACCGCTGACACCCATTTGATTTGGAGAGTTCAGAGTGGAGACCATAGAACACTCGGGAGTTGGGACTTGGTGGAGACTCTCCCTGTTTTCCAATTAGAGCACTAAAGCTAATTATGCAGCATAATACCAACTTCGAATGTTTCAATTACAGCAACGCTCCGCACAATCAAGCATTTTGAAAGTACTGCTTTGATGTGATGCGCGCAATGATATTAACTTATTAGCAGAAAATATAAGAAGTGTTTTTTCTTCAAGGTGCTATAGATCAAAATTTTATTTACAGTAATTATCGTTAGTAGACAATATTATTTATTGTTAAACTAATTTCTAAAGCTTTCGACATAGTCTGTTAAAATATAAAAAATAATTTATACTATGTTCAAAAATAAGTATGTACTAAAATTCAAGGAGGCATTGATCAAAATTTACATTACCGTTAGTAGTTTTTTACTTATATTATTATATACTAGCATTGCCCGCAGCTTCGCCCGCGTTCAGATGACCGAAAACCAAATTCATAGGTTTTTCATATTAGTATATTCTTACATTGCAGTTTTTGTATTTTTTCTCAGAAATGAGACATTTTCCCGCGGTAAAAAGTATACTATATGTTGACCTGGATAACCAGCAATCATACCAAATTTTATCAAAATCCCTCCAGTGGTTTTTCCGTGATGCGGTAACAGACAGATAGACAGACTGACAGACAGACAAAAATTCTAAAAACTATAGATTCGGCCTCTGTATCGCTAATAATGTCTATTTCGAGAAGATTTTCCAAAAAAATATTTAATGTACAGATTCGGCTTAGTTACAATTTTATTATATGTATAGATTTATTACTCAATTAATTATCAACATTGAACCTGGTGCCCTGTGCTGGTGCACTTGAAAACTAATTCACGTTCCAATTATGCATTAGCACACTTCGGCATGGTACGCTAAGTGCGGTATTATGCGCTATAATTGGAATAGGCAGGGTATTGTTCCTGGTCTGAGAAGGAGACTGACACTTGATACTTGATTGATAATTGACAGACACTAGACCACCAGGGCTGCCAGATAGCAGTCGTTAATGTACATATAAACCTTAAAATTCAAATTAATCAATTTCCGCTAGTACTCGTACTTGGCTTAGTAGAGTCAGAAGAAGACCATAATTTGGTTAGCTGGAATTTCACGATACCTCCTGTTTCCCTATTTAAAAACTCCAATAGGATCCCATCAAAAGCGACAAAAGCCACATAGAAAACAATAAATACTTATGTATTGGTTCCTATGTGGCTTTTGTCGCTTTTGGTGGGATTCTATTGGAGTTTCTCAACAACCTTCCCGCACGGCCAATATTGCAACGACAGTAGCTGTGATCAATGAATTTCGATGAGCTGTTTTAATATTTTTTAAATTACTGTTACGCGCCGCTAGTTTATTCGAGGACATCAAGCGCCGTCGTACAACCTCTGTGGTGTTCGTCTACGCAGGTGCCAGGCAGGCAGGAAAAGTATGACGACGAATATATTTGACTTTGGGTGGTGCGTACGATTTTCTCTTGTGTGTATAAATATTATTAATTACTGTCAATATAACGACTATAATAGGGAACGTGGTTCATTGTTTTGCATTACTTTTATGATAATGTTGCCAGCTAAACTAAAATACCCGCTTTTATGCCCTCAATGCAAATACCCGACAAAATTACAAGCCAATGACGCCATCAAAAAATCGCCTAAGATTACCCGCTTTTCAAGTAATTACCCACCAATTGGCAGCGTTGTAGACCACAGACCAGGAACAACAAGACACTAAACAACAATCCAATATTAAGATTCAAGCACACTAACTTGAATACGAATATTCCAATCGGGAAGAATTTTGCCTTTTTCTCCAGCCAGATGTCGTGTTCACTATGACCCTTAGTATATTGTAAAGCTCTTATAGCGTGGATAGATTTTTTTCATTTTATTTTAAATTTAATTAAAATGACAAATTGTGCAGTGCATTGTTCTGAAAGGACAAAAACTAAAGAATTTGTGGGCTAAAGCAATAAGACAGCCAAAATTGGCAAAATCACAATCTTTATATTTAAGACTATGTGGACATCATTTCAAAGAAAGTGATTTTAAAATTCTTAAATCGTTTACAGGTGAATATTTTTTTTAATTTCTTCTTGTTTTATAATTTTTACATATTAATTACAGAGTTTCATACAAACTTTCAACCCCAATTTCACCCCCTTATGGAATTGAATTTCGAATATAGTAAAATACGTATTTACTTAATTGTATTAAGAGAATACTTAAGAGCATTAATACCAAGTTTCCAGTAATTTTGATCATAAATAATTCTTTGTCATGATAAACTTTATTCCACCCTTTTACCTCTTTAATTCATCCCAATTTCGATTTTTTTTTCTTAAAACTAAACACCACTTTCTGTGCATTCCACAATAAGATTGACAGAGTTTCATACATTATTTAATCCCCTATTATATTCGCTTAGGGGATGAATTTTGAAAAATCGTTTCTTTTCGGATGTCTACATTATATAAGAAATATGTCCTTCAAATTTCACGTTTCTACGACCAGCGGTTTAGGCTGTATGTTGATCCATTAGCCAGTCAGGACTGTCGCAGAAAGCTATTCTTAGTTCTTCCTTTAGCTGTTCTAATTTTTAGGTAGAATAAACTGCAAAGGTAAGACTTATTAGAAGCAAAAAGACTGGGTATAAAAGACTTATCACAATAAATTTGCTTAACCTCAGACTGAATGTAAATATACCATACGTGTGGAGCCCTCCTTTCGAGAAATCTTCCCCATTGATTGAGTCGGAATATAACTATTGATATTTAATCATCTATATAGCTATAAGCTAGATACAAGATTTATTAATGTATGGTTACAAGTAAAGCTATTAAAATCGTGCAAATTTTTCTTGCAATCCGACTTTTATTTGCTGAGAAATACAAGTACCAAGCTTCGCTCGGGTTCACCTCTAGAAAAACACTAATAGAGATCTATTAGTTCCCATGGGAACCGTTTATTTTTTCCGGGATGAAAAGTAACCTGTTGTTTGACCGGCAATATGAGGTATCAGCATGCCAAATTTTACTAAATTAGGTCCATAAGTTATTGTGTACTAAGCTGTATAAGTTACTATAGTTTTTTAACTATCCCACGGGAACTCTTAAATTTTCCGGAATGAAAGTGTAAGTATCTTAGATGTTGACCAGGGATATAAGGTACCACCATGCAAAATTACATTTAAATCGGTCCAATAGTCTCGGAGATTAGCTCGTACAAACAGACAGAGAAACAAAATTAAAAAAAAATCCGGATTTGATCTATTTGTCTTCTTACATCCCCTTGACACGGTTTTTAGCATTTTTTGCTATGTACAGACATTCGACTTTTACTGTTTTATTATAGTATAGATAGATAGATATGTCACTATTTAATTTATAATCTTTGATTTTTAATAATCTATGTATGTATGACTTTGACAAGATAAAATAATTTGACTTTTAATGTTTTTTGTTATGTGATTTGACAGTTGACACCCTTGGAAGTTGAGATTCGATTTTGATTTTCAAGAATTTGTATAGTGTCGTCATAATTGTTTGACTATTTTTATTTACTTCGTTTTTTATAATTAAAAAAGTAACTACCCTTTAAAAAAATCGTCGTATAGTTTCAACAAAATATCATCAAAACATATAAACATGGATCAAATGCTGCCAAGTCCTTACAATATACCGGGGATAGGCACCCCACTCCATCAACCAGAAGAAGATCAACAAATCTTGCCTAATGCTATGCAACAACAACATCAGCAGCAACAACAACAACAACAGCAGCAACAACATTCTCTGGTGTCCTTGGGTTCGTCACCTCTGGTTGGTTTTGGCGCTTCTATTATGGGTACTCCACAGAGGACGATGCACACATATGCGCCTACAGCAAGCTATGCTACCCCACAGCAAATGATGCAGCCACAAACTCCAGTATGTTAGCTAAAATTATCTAATACCTACATGATTGATTAATTTTTAAAATAAATTGTTGTACATTTAATTGATACTTTTTTAACAGTTACATTCTTATTATATGCATACATAGGAATACTAAGAATATAACTCTAAAATAACATTGTTTTTTAGCAAAATTTAATGTCACCAATGATAACCGGGGGAAACATAGCTGGTTCACAAATGTTAAGTCAGGCCAGCCCAGCCCCTATGACACCTATGACTCCACACTCTGCAGATCCTGGAATACTGCCCCAATTACAGTAATATATAATATATTAGTTATCATTAGGAAGCATAAATTTAAGTAAAAGTTGAATCTTAACTTATTGTACACAAATTATTATCATTAATATAACAAGATGTCATTGTTGTGAAAAAAATATTTACTAATTTACTAAAGTTATTTATTGTAGGAATATTGTATCAACAGTGAATCTTAATTGTAAGCTGGATTTAAAGAAAATAGCTCTCCATGCTCGTAATGCTGAATACAATCCAAAACGATTTGCAGCAGTTATCATGAGAATAAGAGAACCTAGGACTACAGCCCTTATTTTTTCGTCTGGTAAAATGGTTTGTACAGGAGCCAAAAGTGAAGAAGATTCAAGGTTAGCTGCTAGAAAATATGCCAGAATTATTCAAAAACTTGGATTTACTGTAAGTAAAATTAGCCTAATATTTAATACTTTTTTAGATTGACTTCTAAAACAGCCAACCCTCGAAACATTTTCATTTTGTTATAAGAAGTGTATGAGACATAGGTAATTCATTATCAAAATATGTAATTCATATATATTTTTTGTGAATTTTGGTAAAACGTCTAGTATATACTAATAAACAAAGTAAGATATAAGTGTTCATTTCATCTTTTTTAAATGTAAAATATATGTGTATATTTAAATGTCTTTAAAATAAGAGAGGAAATACTATACAGAATGCAATGTTCTTGTACATTTTAATTAGCAAAAGTATTTATTATCTATGAATATTTATTTATTTAAATATTTTTAGAACAATTATTTATTTATATTACTAATTTTGTTACAGGCAAAATTTTTAGATTTTAAAATACAAAACATGGTTGGCAGTTGTGATGTTAAGTTTCCCATTCGCCTTGAAGGTTTAGTACTCACTCATGGTCAATTTAGCTCTTATGAACCTGAACTTTTTCCTGGACTTATTTATCGAATGGTTAAACCCAGAATAGTGTTACTTATTTTTGTTTCTGGGAAAGTAGTACTGACTGGTGCCAAAGTGCGTCAAGAAATCTATGAAGCATTTGATAATATATATCCTATCCTTAAGAGTTTCAAAAAGCAATAGACTGATAAGTAACATATTTTCCATTGTATTAAGTTATTTTTGTATGTTCTCGTTTATAAATAATAATTAAAATAAATATGAAGTTTTATTTTACTGTGTATGAAAGATAAACCTTACTGTACCTACCTATACTAAAATCACTCTTTAATCTATTTCTGTGACTAAATGCATATTTTTATTAGTATAACCATTTTGTCATATGGTATTAAAAATGTTTATATATTTGCTTTTAATATTTATATTTGTATTTCTAGTATCCGTTATAATATTATATAAATGCGAAAGTTTGGATGGATGGATGTTTGTTTGTTACTCAATCATGCCAGAACGGCTGAACGGATCTGCATGAAATTTGGCACAAATATAGTTTATAGTCTGGAATATAATTCGCGTCATCTAAAAAGAACGCAGCGCTGGCTGTCAAGCTGCGCAGAAGCGATTTATCGGTCAAATTGGTGGTAAGAGGTGGGGCGCGGGTTGGCGGAGTACGCGCCGCATGCTTGCCGGCGCGCTATTGGTTCGTCAGTTCGAAATACTATCGCGCACACAAATGTTTTTAATTACGAAAGGATTTTTATATATAGAAAAGAGACAAAAAATATTTTTGACGTATATTGTTTTATAAAGAGAGAATCTGATAATAATGCAGTTAATAATTTAAAAAAATGTATTAAACGTATTAATTTAATTTTTTTGTAAGACTGTATGTAGATTAAACATTCTACCCTGAATCAAACATATTTTAATAATGAATAGAATTCTATTTAATGATATTCTATCTAGTATATTTTGCACCCACGACGACTTAATGGAAGGAGTTACAACCTTAGTTTAATTTGTTTTAGTTTTTATATCTTTATAATAAATTATATATATATATATATATATATATATATATATATATATATATATATATATATATATATATAGCAGAGCCTTGAATCAAAGCGATATTTAAGGAACCACAGATATAAATTGATGTGTGTGCATCAGATATCAGAGATCAATGTATTATCTAGTGTACACACAATGGACGATATCCAACAAAAGGTGTCTATGCTTTATTTTTAGTCTGTATTATAATTACATTAATCAATACTTATTCTGTGTTAATAAGTAATCTGTACCTGTAGTAAGAATTTCCTATTGTCAAACTAGGTAATCTGTTACTGTACCACATGTTTCAATTTTGAAAGTTTTAAAGCACAAATTCATTATTTTTTATATTAAGGTTACAAAAACTATCATAATTAATTATGGCTGAAACGATGAGACAGACAGTTGCGACGATATTAAAAAGTATTGAGAGATATAACCCAGCTAATCTTCAAACGTTGGAACGCTACGTGGAAATGCAATCTCGGGAGAATACATATGATTTGGAAGCCAATTTAGCTGTATTAAAGCTATATCAATTTAATCCTGAGAAATTTAACGCAGATATTACATGCCAAATATTACTAAAGGCTCTTACGAATTTCCCCCATACTGATTTTACTTTGTGCAAATGTTTACTATTAGAATCCGTTGTAAGTTTTATCTATTTTATAAAGAATGATAATTTTATCAATATCGTCTAACTATAGTGATTCAATATTCTTTTTAGGTTGAAAATGAAACAATTTCACAAATTAAATACTTGGCAGATATTTTAGAGCAATGTGACTTTGCTCAATTTTGGAATAGAGTTCATCAGATGCCTGAGTTGTGTAACCGTATTAGCAGTTTCCATGATTCAATTCGTAAATTTGTATGCCATGTAGTGGGTATTACCTTTCAGACTATTGATAAGAATAATTTAGCTAATCTTCTAGGAGGTATTGATGGTTAGTATTTTTAAAATGTATAAATATAAAATATTTTTCCTCTAATTTTTATATTAAATTCTTAAATTTTTTCAGATGTTACTTTGAAACATTGGGTCAAAAAATATGGCTGGCGTGATGAAGGAAACCTTATTTTCATTGCCAACCAAGATGAAAATATCAAAACCAAGAATATTACTGAAAAAATTGAATTCGAACATCTGGCTCCTCTGATGACAATATTGTGAAGTACTACTTTTACATTTATTATAAAAGCATATATTATGCTTTAAAAGAATAAATAAAATATATAAAAATGTATTTTTTTTTAATTTTTTTTAAGGATTTTAAAATTAATCTATAAGATTTGTTCTCATTAGTCAGTATTTAGATAGTATAAAAGCTAAGTAGCCAAGTATGGAATATGACAAGAAAATATGAAGAAAAGAAAAACTTAATATATAGAGTCAATTTTAATACTGAAATATTAAATAATTATCATATTGACTTGTAAAAAAATAATAATATAATTAACATTTGTATCTGATCTTCTTTTTTAGGCTTTCTTTCCATGGTTGTAACCAAATTCTTTTCCCCCAGCATGACCTCCCTTTTTACCATGATCTTGATGTTGTGCATGATGCTCTTCATGACCATGATGTCCCTTATGTCCCTTGTGGTCTTCATCATAGTGACCTTTATCATGTTTTCCTTTCTTGCCATGATGTTTTTCATGGTGTCCTGTTTCGTGGTGACCTCCTTTCTTATGATGTCCTTCCTTATTGTCATGTTTCCCATGAAAATCGCCATGCTTGTGATGATGACCACCCTTGTGGAAATCGTCATAGAATTTGTGTTCCTTATGATATTCATCTTTATGCGATTTGTGATGAAAACCTGTGGTTTTTGAACCCTTTTTATGACCTTTTTTGTGGCCAAATTTACCCCCTTTATGCCCATGTTCCCCTTCGTGATGTTCGCCATGGCTATCATGTTCGTCGTGGTGTTTCTTTTTATGGCCGCCATGTTCATCGTGATGGCCCTCGTGATGATGTTTACCATGGTGTCCGTGTTCTCCTTTGTCATGGTGGTGGTGAGATTTGTATCCTTTATCTCCTTTTTCTCCTTCTTCTTTATGATGGTCTGCATGATGTTCATGGCCACCACCTTCCTCTTTATGGCTACTTTTAGATTCCTTTTTTTCAGTGCCTGCAGCAGCTTGATCTAACGCTTTGGGTTCATTTTTATGTTTTTGTTCATTTTCAAAATGGCGTGCACTTGCGACTATAAGTCCGCAACTTATAAGCACAATAAATAATAATTCCTTCATATTCCTAAAAAATGTTTTTTTTTTTAAATATTTTATCATATATTATAGATAATAATAATTAAGGTATTAGGTATATTTATGTATATGCTAAAATTTGTTTTCATTAATCTTACCTGGTGATGTAGTTGGGTGGAAAGCAACGCTTGTTATGTTACAAGAGTTTCCAAAGTTTGTATTTATAGATAATGTCGCTTTCATCTATTGACGATTACAGATTGATCTTTAGCAATCATATTACTTTAGATTTCTGGACGACTGATTTTGTTGGTTAAAATGACGACATCAGAAGTTTACGGTTAAATTCAAATTGTTTCCGTCATAGTAATCACTATAGCTAGTGAATAATAAGAAATTTAAAAGAAACTTTAAATAAAAATACTGAATAAAATATAAAATAACAATATTTATTTACAAAGTTGATGAGGTATAAACAATAAAGAAATAAAGTAGAAATTAAAAATTAATTCGTTAAAAGTTAATTTTTTAATGCTTCCCGTGGTGAAATCCCCAGTGCTTATGATCTTCATGGCCGCCTTTCTTGCCGTGATCATGGTGGTGGTGATGATGTTCTTCATGTCCGTGATGGCCTTTATGGCCTTTGTGGTCTTCATCATAGTGATGCTTATCATGATGTCCTTTTTTACCGTGATGATGCTCATGGTGACCAGAGTGGTGATGGCCACCTTTTTTATGATGACCACCATGCTCCTCGTGATGACCATGATGCTTGCCATGCTTGTGATGCTTCCCTTCTTTGTGATGGTCATCATAGAAATGATGGTCCTTGTGATATTCGTCTTTATGATATTTCTTATGATAGCCTTCAGTCTCCTCTCCCTTATCGTGATGTTTCTTATGATGGTGTTTTCCACCCTTGTGGTGATGGCCATGTTCGTGGTGTTTTCCATGATGATCATCTTCATCCCAGTGCTTTTTATGTCCACCGCCATGTTCATGATGATGACCTTCATGATGATGTTTATGATGGTCACCGTGTTCGCCTTTATGATGATGGTGGTGTCCTTTATGACCTTTGTGTCCCTTTTCACCATGTTCGTGGTGGTGATGTGCGTGATGCTCCTTGCCGCCACCTTCTTCATGATGGTGTCCTTTGTGGTGGCTGGCTGCGGCCATTAGGTCAGATTCTTGCTGGCCGATTTCGCGGCCAGAGCAAATGACTAAAGCGCATCCTAATAGGAAAAGGGCGACAAGCGTCCTCATTTTTACAGTTGTGGTGTATACTATAAGTTTAAAGTTTTGCTACTGGAACTGAACTGACTTTACGGTCGCTTGAGAGGGCATTTATAGCAATCATTAAAGTAGCTGATTGCATCTGGTGAAATTATCTGCAAGGACGCCAAAGCAACCGTTACGCCTATAGTATTTGTTTTTGTATTATATAATGAACCTTCATTATATATTGTATAAATTATGGCAAATGTTATTTACTTTTATATGGCTGCAAGAACATTGTATTGTTATTTTATTTCGTTAAGAAATAGTAATTATGTATTGATCCATTCTCATTGATGTTTTTGTAATCTTTCTTGAAGTTCTAAAATAAAATTAACACAAGCAAACTCACTGCAAATTATGAAGACGCAAGAAGGTACCTACTACGTATTTTTTTTTTAATTTATTTCATAGGTGTAAAGATATGATGCAGCATAAAAGTAGTAAATTGATTTTATGATTTGTATAATCTGTGCTACGAAGGCAGAAATAGCTATAGAAATGCTGTTCAATATCCTAAGGTCGTTATAAATGTAGTTGTACACCACGCGGCACACCGTACACGATATATATGTAGGTATATAGACCAATCGGAATCCGTTTATTTTTAAGAGATTTTTTTTTATTGAGAACCTGAAGTTTTATGATTTTAAAATTTTAGCAGGTATATAAGGAATAGAAATTCGTAAAATGTCCCACATGCCCAGCTACCCCCGAGAAATGGAGGGACGCAAGCATTGAAAATAGTTTTTTTCAATTTCCGGCTTACTGTGACGTCCTATCGAAAAATGTTTTGTATAAAAGTTGTAGGTCTAGTAAAAATCTACAACTTTCATAAATAACACTTTTTACAATAACTATTTTATTCGTTTTTTCCTGAAAAATAGATAATGATTAATGATTTTTCTTAAGTAAAAGGTATCCTAAATATTGACCTGAGTAATAAGTTATCACTTCACAAATTTGCGTGAAAAGCACACACACACAATCAGAAATATAGACAAAGAGACAAAAATTTTAATAACTATTGTTTTGGGGTCCTTATTTTGTACATTTCTAATACGTTAGTCAATGTTTTTTAAAAATATTTCATGTTCAGATTTAACTAAGTTTCTGCTTTATTATAGTACTAGCGACTCACCCTCGCTTCGCTCGGGTTCGTCCCTAGCTTGCTTCTCCATACAAACTTTCATCCCCTTATGGGATGATTCCGGGATAAAAATATATAAATATTTGGAAAAAAATATAAAAGTATGTGATACCTATATAGATTTCCGGGATAAATATATCCTATATCCTTCCCAGGGTCACAAACTATCTTCTTACCTTTCTTCTAAATCGGTTTAGTAGATCCAGAGATTACCCCGTATAACGTCCAAAACTCACAATTCACAAACTCATAAACTTTACATCTTTATAATATTAGTTTAGATAGATTGACGTATAGTATTAGTATTGTATATGGAAAAAAAACATCTTATAGAAATATCACTCAATAGATTACGACACGGTCGCGGTTCCATACCTACGAATATGTTGTATTATCTCTTTAACCATTTGTCCAAATTATATGCAGTAAAAGGAAAAAGACTTTTGTTTTAAACATTTTAGAAGATAAATTTACTTATTTTGATAAGAATATGGAATTGTTGATAATATGACCATTAAACATGACCTACTGATATAAATTATTTTATGTGACTTAAATATAAAAGTTAGACATATAATGCTGTCGCTGACTTTTTTGTAGGCATTATTAAGCTCTAGAACATAATTATATATCTCTCATCGTTAGGGCAGCGTTCGTAGGAAACGTTTTCGTTCGACCGCTTTTTCTCCGACTTACTTTGCAAATCCGCCTACCATGAAAAAGTCTTTTTATTCTTCGAGATAATATATAGCCTATGACACTCAGAAAGAACGTGGCTTTCTATAATTGGTAAAAGAATTTTGAAAATCGGTCCAGTAGATCCAGAGAGTACCCCCTACAATATCACAAACTCACAATATCACAAACTTTACCTCTTTATAATATTAGTATAGATAGACGATTATAATAAATAATAGCGTCATCCTAACTTAGTAGGTAAATAGTAGATAATAATAATTATTATTACTGATGACACCGCTTCGCTTTGGTCGTCGTCTTTGGGTAGGTGTGAATAAGGTAGGTACGTACATTTAGCGTTGCTACAGTTTAATACATAAATGTTATTAAGTTATTAAGAGGAAAAATTACGTAATAAATATAATATTGTTTAAATATAACTCTTAGTTTACGCGGTGCACGAAACCAGTAGAGCTCCCTTTTATCATAATTTTTTACCACATCTTCAACAATCTTCGTCATATTTCAGGCAATTTACAAAAAACCTTAACTATGCACCTAAATTTTCAATCATTCGTCATCATCATCTCCGTCCATTAGTGGAAACCGTATGAAAATCCGTTCGGTATTTTTGAGTTTATCGCGTTCAGGCAGACTGTGCTGCAAGGGAACTTTGATTTATAATATTTAGTGCTAATTACATAGACAGATTTTAGACTAAAAATCTAAGTAGGCATGTGCAACTTCGATCTACAAGTAGGTATTGTTGATTGAAGTTGATTGCTGTGTTTCGATACTCTATAATCTACATAATAATATATAGTCCACAATCATTCTCACTCTACATAATTTCAACTTTATTAATTTACTTTATTTTCTAGTACAATTATTTGTTATTTGCTTAACACTTAACAAGTTCAAGATACTTAACTGAAATCAATATTTTGGTGCTTGTTTAATATAATATAACTTTACATGGATTAAAATTAGATTTTGCAGGACAACATATCTTAAGTAAGTAGGTATACCTACTTAGTAATATTTTTTCCCCTTTTTGTACACATTAAATCGATTTAGTTTTGAAGATTAAAGTTATGATATGAAATAATTAATTTTATTTGAGGTCATTATTTTAATAAAGTAAAAAAACATGAACAATAACAATAACAATTTTCATAAGTGAAAATTCATATTTTCAGTCAGACATAATAAATTTACATTATATTTAAACAAATAAATTTAATGTTTTCCATGGTGGAATCCCCAGTGCTTGTGGTCCTCATGCCCGCCTTTCTTGCCATGGTCATGATGATGATGGTGGTGTTCGTCGTGTCCGTGATGGCCTTTGTGGTCATGATGGTCTTCGTCATAGTGATGTTTGTCATGATGTCCGTGCTTGCCATGGTGACCCTCATGATGGCCGGAATGGTGATGGCCGCCTTTCTTGTGATGTCCTCCGTGCTTCTCGTGGTGTCCGTGGTGGTGTCCATATTTATGGTGCTTGCCTTCATCATGATGGCCATCATGGAAATGATGGTCCTTATGGAAGTGGTCTTTGTGATGTTTCTTATGGTATCCATCAACGTGTTCACCTTTATCGTGATGTTCATGGTGACCGTGTTTCTCACCTTTGTGGTGATGACCATGTTCGTGATGTTCACCATGATGGTCATGTTCATCCCAATGTTTCTTATGGCCACCACCATGCTCATGATGATGATCCTCATGATGGTGCTTGCCATAATGTCCTTCATCGCCTTTGTGATGATGGTGATGACCTTTGTGGCCCTTGTGCCCTTTGTCGCCATGCTCGTGGTGATGATGTTCATGATGATCGTGGCCACCACCGTGCTCATGTTTGCTGGCTGCGACTGCCTGATCCTCTGCCTCGTAGGCGCTACATATCGCCACTATATACAGAACACCTAATAATATTAACACCCTCATGATTGCCGGCCCTCTTGTTTGTTGTATCGGAAGTCCGGCTGTGACTGATTTCTGAAACACTGATTGTCTATTTTATATTAGTAAGAAGTAGTATTGTCCGTAACTGTGGAGAAATATTTAAACAATTCCGCAACAGTTTGGCGGTAGTAGTTCAGGGACAATTAAAATTCAAATTATCTGTTATCAGCTACTGAAATCTCATTTACTTTGTTGCGTGTTCATTATATATAAATATGAAACATATTTTTTATTTAAATTTTCATACTAGCGACTTACCCTTCGCTCGGTTGCATCCCTAGGTTTCTAACGTAGCCTGTCTTCCTTTTGTACCTACATGTAAAGTTTTTGAAATTTATATGTTGCTTGCTTAGGATTAAACTAACCTAATATTAAAAAGTAAAGTAAAACTAGCGTGACATATAATATATTGTATGCTCGTCAAGATATAAGTAGGTATTTTATATCAGGCGTGTTTTTTGTACTCGAGTAAATTGCAGCTATAATACCAACACAGACATCATCCACGTTAAACAGATAAGGCAGAAACAAATAAACGTGAAAACGTAAAATATGAAATATATGTACCTATCTACTTTATTCTTATGTAAATTTTTTGGCAAATTAATTTAATTACATAGTTTGAATAGACACACATACATACATATATACACGGTACCCACACAACCAAACTCATACATACACACGCACACTTCACTCACAAATACTACAACTTTCAACAATTTCTATAATGTATAATAATATGATTAATGTTTTTTCTAAATCATAACTTTTTTTGTCGAATATTTTGTTTTCTGTATTATTGACATTTGAAAATCTATTATTTTTTCAACCGACTTCAAAAAGGAGGAGGTTCTCAATTCGACTGTATTTTTTTTTTATGTTTGTTACCTCAGAACTCCGTCATTTATTAACCCATTTGGACAATTTTTGTGTTGTTTGAAAGTGTATAATTCCAGATTGGTCCCATTTAAATTAAAAAAAAAATACCACCCCTAATGGTGGAAAATAGCTAATGATGAATTTAACCTACTTCTAATTGTCATATTGACTTGAAACTTTGCAAGTGATTCTATTGTATAGTGGTTCGGTATTGTTGACCTGATCTGATGGTAAGGCCAGAAGGTGGATAGGAACTCTTCAGCGGCTAATAGTAGATACTTTGAGTTTAGGCTTATTTTGTTTGGTTTGACAAGCCTAACGTTAGAATTCTTAATTTGCTACTACTGTCTACACTAAAAAGGAAAAAATAAAAACTATTTAACAAATAAATAAAAACCGACTTCAAACAAAAGCACTAAAAAGTAAAAAATTCCTGATTGGTAGTTTTCATTTACTATACATACCTAGTCAAATATTTTCGGAGTCGGTGTGCTTTGGCTAAGTAATTAAAGCCTACCTATTAAAATACATACCTAATCAAATATTTTTGAAATCGGTGCCAGCCCATACAAAGCAAAGCACACCGACTTCGAAAAAAATTGATTAGGTATGTATAGTAAATGAAAACTACCAATCAGTTATTTTTTACTTTTTAGTGCTTTTGTTTTGTCTTATTAGAATTGATACAATTAATTTAGCATATGCAATTGTAGCCTGTTCCTAGAGAGGTGTGCGTTGATAACTGCGTCTCAGTATAACTAATGCAGTTATTAACATAGAAACTGTTTATGATATTATATGCGAAAAGGATGTTCTTAGTAAATAAATAAATACGCGATTTAGAAATATCTTTTTTATAAAATAATAAGAATTAAAATGAATAATAAAGTAGGTACACTCAAGATCATCGCATCATCATTCTCGCATTATTCAAATGTTATGCATTTATTGCACGAACTTATAATATATTGTATAGCTATCTACTATGAAAATTTAGGTATTCGGTATTTTATCAGTTGTAATGAAGCTGCTTGCAACATTATTGGAAACTAGCGACTCACCCTCGCTTCTTTCGGGTTGGTCCCTGGCTTGATTCCCCACACGAACTTTCATGCTAATTTTCACCTCCTTAGGGGATGATTTTCTGGATAAAAGTATCCTATCTCCTTCCCAAGGTCTCAAACTATCTTCTTACCAAATTTCATCTAAATCGGTTCAGTAGATCCAGAGATTACTCCCTACAACGTCACAAACTCACAATCTGACAAACTCACGAACTTTACCTCTTTATAATATTATAGTATAGATAGATTGACGTATTATATATGTAAAAAACCATTTTATAGAAATATCACTCAATAGATTACGACGCGGTCGCGGTTCCATACCTACGTGTATGTCGTATTATCTCTTTAACCATTTGTCCAAATTATATGCAGTAAAAGGGAAATGTTTTTTGTTTTAAACATTTTAGACGATAAATTTACTTATTTTGATAAGAATTTATAATTGTAGATAATATAACCGATAAACATGACCTATAGATTTAAATTATTTTTTAATATAAAAAAATTCACAAACTTTACCACTTTATTATATTAGTATAGAAAATATTAGTATAGACAAAAAAGCAGAAATAATATTAAAGCGGATTTTTATTTTTTTTAAGATATCTAATAAAAGTCGATACGCACAACAAAGATTTCGTAGGCTTTATACAATATACCTATATCCACATATTATTATATTTTACGTGTACGATTTACATGTGGCCGCAGATTGGATAGCGGTAAAACCGTTAGCTTGAGGACGACTTAAACTTGGCTAATTTTTTTTATTTCTTAACTGAAACAGTTTAATTGCACCAACTTTGATAATTATATGTATTATGATTTACGGGTAATCTGTAGTATTTTTATCCATTTTAAAATTGTATATAAGGAAAAGATGACGATTAGTCACCGTGTAATACCTACTAAAAAGTGCCATACCTACTTAAATGCTAATAAAAATAATAGTAAATAGAGAAATAGGTAATACCTATATGTTTAAGGTACATTTCAATATTAATTAAGAACTCTGTTTTACTTTTTATGTGCATATATTACGTATGTAATATGTGCAGCTATTTAATATTTATTTCTTTAGAATATAAAGTATTGGTTATTAAAGAATTTCGTTTAAGAGGCCTATTACATTATTATGACCGTGATTTTTCAATTTAATGCCCATCTTTGACGTTCTTATTCAGAGAAACTGAAAATCTTCGACAATTTTGACTTATTGTGTGGTGGAGAATAGTTATTAATATAGTTCATAGCGGCCTCGCAATTCGCAAATTTTCATTATTAATTGAAATAAAGCCAAAATTTAGAAGCAAGTTTATAATAAAATGCGCGACGGTACGCTTTCAAGCTCATGGATTAAAATACTATACTAAGCAAACGAAATGAAAAATATATAATAATATCTCGTATATACTTATGTGATGAGGCTGTGTTTATAGCGGCCTTGGAATTTGAAAATATATTGCATTTGTACAAAAAAAAATCCTTTTCAAAATCTTTTTAACTATTAAAAACGTTCAGAATTAGATGTAAATATATAAGGATATAAATATGTAAGGACAACATTAATATTATTAAGTAAAATTTATACCAGAACATACCTCAGTTCAAAAGAAACGTAATGACATATTTTTTTAAATACCTATTTCATTATAAAAACTTTACATAGAAGTTATTACTACTGCAGAAAATGCTAGAAACAGCGATGCGTCGGCCGCTCGAACTCAATACCATAGAACGCAGTACATTTAGTGATAGGCCTCATAAGAAGATTCTACTCATTCACCACACTTCATCGACGGCTGATAATCGCGACTGAATCGTAAATTATCTGCATAATACATTCTATCGTGTATGAAAGAATGCTATTTGGATAGCGTTAAACAATTCTTCCGAGCGAATAAACTTGTTTAAAACCACCCTTACTGCATACGTCCTGTATACTTCATTGCATTATTTTCTGTTTGCATATTCACTTCGATTATACACGCCTACAGGCTTATCAGATATTGAAAGGGCCTAGAGATTATAACAGAAAATAGAATAAAGTTTTTAAATCAAACACATTTGTAATATGATTTTTTTAATGAACTTCAAGTAGATTCATATTTTATATATATATATATATATATATATATATATATATATATATATATATACATTATATATATATATATATATATATATATATATATATATATATATAGTTATATACATATAATAAAAGTGTAACTAAGCCGAATCTGTACATTATTTTTTGGAAAATCTTATTGAAATAAACATTGTTATCGATACAGAGGCCGAATCTATAGTTTTAGAATTTTTGTCTGTCTGTCTCTCTGTTACCGCATCACAGAAAAACCACTGGAGGGATTTTGATAAAATTTGGTATGGTGATAGCTGGTTATCCGGGTCAACATATAGGATACTTTTACCACGGGAAAATGACAAAAACTACATTGTAAGAATATACTAATATGTAAAACCTGAGAATTTGCTTTTTGGTCATCTGAATGCGGGCGGAGCCGCGGGCAATGATAGTAGTGATATATTAAGCTTTTAATATCTTTTATAAATATAAATTTTATAAATAAAATGGAAATGTAAATGATTGGTAGTACATAATTTAATTATAATTATTATGAGTAGGTAGTAGGCTAAAACTACAAAAGCACTTTAAAAAGTTAGGTTTCATAAAAACTTAGGGGTTGAATTTCACGTATTTATTTAATTGTATTGAAGAGCATTAATACCAAGTTTCAAGTAATTCTCATCGTAAATATTTTTTTTGGGTTATACTACAACGTGTTTTGCCATGGGAAGAAGATGATTTCCCGCGGTACAATGTAGCTTATGTCACTCTCAAGCTTTCCAACTATCTCCACACACAAAATCACGCCAATCTGTTACTTCGTTTCGACGTGAAAAAAGGAAAAACAAACAAACGAACAAACACACTTTCACATTTATAATATTAGTATGGATTAACGTACAATTTACACAGATATTTCTATTTCAGTCACTAGGTTCATT